CTTCCAGGGGTATTTGGATTTTGAAAAAAAACCGAAATTTTGCCGGCTTATTTTTAGGTCGATCAAATTGCTTTTCTGAGTGCTCCCGATTGCCGATTCTGACAATTTTTTGAAAAAAACATGGCGAAAATGTTGTTTATCACCCTTCCTTAAAGGCATTTTAGTCGTGATTCGAACGACATAAAATTTTTTTCACGTAATAAGGGTTGCTAGTTTTTCACTGTATATAGTCTTGAAGTACTTCCAGGGGTATTTGGATTTTGAAAAAAAAACCTGAAATTTTGCCGGCTTATTTTTAGGTCGACCAAATTGCTTTTCTGAGTGCTCCGATTTGCCGATTCTGACAATTTTGTGAAAAAAACATGGCGAAAATGTTGTTTATGACCCCTCCTTAAAGGCATTTAAGTCGTGATTCGAAAGACATAAAAAATTTCATTAAATTTTCCCTCTGTTGAGAAAAATTGGTTGCAAATTTTTACATCTGTGACAAATTTTCAGCTGATAGGTTTTAATAAAGAAAATTTAGTAAATAGTGGAAAACTTAATTCTGATCCAGGAAATTTGTCGAGGAAGGCTAATGTAGCACTTACCTGGTAAAAAAAATTCAATTCAGTAAATTGCCAAACAGTTAAACTTTTTCGGAGATATTTTCATTTTGTTTGTTATTCATTTTTGAAAATAACTGATGGTAATTATTCCTAATTTTGTAACCTTCTACGGGTTCTTCTATTTTCTGATCACGCAACGCTTTAAAACTTACCCTAATTTTAAGACAACGAAAAAAAATTTTGTCTAGGTTTTTACGAAGTTAGTTTAAACATTCTGTGCTACTTGCTCAGCAACCGGCTATCCTCGTCCAGTTCTGAAATTGGTTGGCTATTTATACCTAAGAGTGGTCGACCTTAATCGAATTAACTTCTGAGATATCTTAGTTTTTCTCATTTGTGTCGAATTTGTTACCACTAAGGCTGATCCTTCTGAAACGGATCCTTTATGTTTTTCTTTTTGCTGAAGGAAGTTTTTATAATTTATGTCGTTTCAAATGTATTTTTTGTCTTATTGCTGATATTTTCTATATGAGAAGGCAGTAAGTGAATCCTCTGGTTATAATTTTGCAAAAAAATTTGTAGAGTCATTTGAATAAAAATCAGTTTTCGAATTGAGGTTTTTGAAATTTAACTTAATTAATTATTTGTTTTTCTTTTTGAATACTTTTTCAATTAGATGGCATTTACCATTAGCAAGTTTTTTTTTCACTTGCGAGAGCAAGTGACTTGTAATCATGAGCTAGACCATATTTCCCGTTGCCAACTTTTTATACACATTTTTGCTGACTTGCTCAATTGAGTTTTTATGTTTTTTTTTTCCAATTGTGCTGGAAAAAGGTTTTTTTCCGGGTTTGTCTTTTTCGTCTTTTATTCTGTCGGCTTATTTTCCGTATTTTTTTTTCCAAATTGGGCTTCTTGATTGTTTGATGAAATATATTTTTAATTTTCTTAAACATTACCCTCCCAAAGCTCAGGGTTTGGGTTCAATCAGATTAGTCGAAAAAAGCTATAACACTCTGGAGAGTCAAGTTTTTTGATTCTTGCGACCGTCTTTTGGAATGTTTTTGACTTCTTAAAAACTACCCTAAACTAACCTAATTTGAGATTAGTGGTTAAATCTAAGAAAAAGACTGTGAAAATTTTTCCTGCATAAGTGTTGAATCTTTAGTTTCTGTTAGAAAACATGTCCTTGAAAACGTTCACATTCTGATTTTTTTTGTCTTTTTTCTAAATGTTTGCAAACTTTTTCTCTCTTCTCGAAAACTACTCTGAAAAATTTGAGATTTAGGATTGAATCACAAAAACAGGTCGTGGGAATCTCCCCAGTATAAATGGTTTGGCAGTTACGGGTCCGATAAAAAGAACAGATTGCGGAAAAAATCCACAATTTAATTCGAAAATAAGTAGCAGATTTTTTGAGACTCATTTGATTTCGTATGTCATTTTTCTGATGAACCGCTACGGTCGATTATTTTTGTGCAATTATTTTTCATGATGAATGTTTCTAGTTGAATCTTTTTGTCACAGTGACCTCAAAATTTTTTTAAAAATAGATTAAAGATGGTTTTAACATACTGTGCGTGGCTTGGGTGATAGAACTTCAATTTTTTCTCATTTCATTTAAAGTACAAAACTCTTTTTGATAGATCACAAAAACAGGCACGAAAAAAGAAACGAAAAACTACATGTTTCTCGAGTGAAGATTGATGTTGTTTAATTTAAGAAAGTTTGAAACCTACCATAAAGTGCGGCGGCGTTGTTAGTTACGATATTGGGCCGTAGGTTGCGATAGTAGTCGCATGATCAATAGGATTTAGGCAACTTTAACAGCAATTTAATGCCCATCAAATTTTTATTTTTAGGCAATATTGCTTAAACTGGAGTTTCGGACTTAGTGAACGTCCTCGCCTGATCCGGTTTTGGAGCCTAGTGGTGTGAAGTTCACTTGGTTACGTCAACAAATTCAACGTATTATTTTGCAGCACCTTATTTTCATTTCTTTGAAATTATTTAGCCAAAATCAGGTTTTTTAATAATAGTTTTGAATTTAAGTGTCAAATTTTTTTCTCTATAATTTTGCAGCACCTTATTGTTTTCTTCAATTATTATCGAAAAAAAAAGGTTTGAATGTACTTTTCAGGGTTGTGCTAGTTTTCTTAGGTTTAGAGTTGGCATTCATGGTTAGATTTTTCATAATTAAGACGGATTATTGACAAGCGGTTTACAGTGCTGATTACGCTTGCTATTAGCAAGCGTTATCAAACTGGAGAGTCTGGTTAACAAAATCAGTTGAATCACTTGCTGAGGAGGAGGAGCAAAAGGCAGCTTCTTTTCTATGCAGCTGACTTCTTTTCACTTATATTGTCTTTTATTAACTTTCCAGATTGCTTCCCTTTGGCCTGGAGGTAGACCAGTTGCCTTCGTGCCCTAATGTCTGGGATTGAGTCGTGGCCGGACCTTGGTTTTTTCAGAACAAGGAAATAAAAAAAAAATCCTAGAAAAGTGAATTGTTGGTTTTTCGGTTGTTCGCTCAAGTTTTGTCGGCTAAATTGTCACAACGGATTTTGCTTGTGCTGTAGTCAATTTTCATTGCAGCTGCAAGTGCAATTGTTGTTCGTTCTCATTTCAAAAAATCATATAATCTTTTTTCTGTTCAGTTGGTGACTGCTGAACGATGGTCGGCTTAGTTGCCACATCACTGATTTTTCTTACGCTGTAAACAACTTTCTTTGTAATTGCAAGTGCAAGTGTTGTCCATGGTTGTTTGTGGTGGAATATTTTTTGTATAAAATCATATTTTTTTTCGGCTCAACTTGTTGCTCAAATAGCGTCGGCTTTGTTTCTTTGCGTAAATTTTGTTCCGTTGTGGCTGATTTTAAATTTAAGTGTCTGGCATGTTTGCTCGGAATGAACTCTCAGAGATGGCGAATCTACCCTCCAAATCTTCTCAAAAGCTTTAGAATTTCTCAAAAAATTAAGATTTGAAAATGTTCAAAAATTTGGAAGATCTTCATCGTGTTGTTGGTAACTCTGAGGGTACCCTCAGGGGTTGCGAATCTTGCCTCTGAATATGACTTCTCAAATCCTTATATTTTCGATATATGACCTTTTTAAGGATTTTTCAAAGTTTGAAGATATAAAAATTTAACAAAATATGAAGTTTTCACCTCGATAGTGATGCTCTGTCGGAGTCCTCCAGTAGGTATGACTGCTCAAATCCTTCTAGTTTTTGAGATATTTTCAAAATTTGACATGTCCATTTTTGTAATAAGGGCTGTCAGAGTACTCTCAGGGTTTCAGGGGTTGCAAGTATCACTTGCCTCCAAATATCACTGCTCAAATGCTTGTAATTTTTTCGAGATATGACGTCTTCAATGATTTTTTGTAATTTATCAGAAAACTTAGATTTTAAAAAAATTTCAAAAATTGAAATTCTCAACCTTGTAGTTTCATACTGCGAAAGTGCTCTCTTGAGCTGCAAGTTGCTAATTTGGTGTCCAAATGAGACGGCTCACATGGTCTTAGTTTCCGAGATGTGACGTTTGTTATATCTTTTTTTAAATATTGTTTAAAGAACTTAGTTATAAATCATTTTACAAAGTTTGAAGTTCGCATCTCTATATTGAGGCTTTTTCATTGCACTTCCAGGAGTTTCTAATTCGGCCTCCAAATCTGACGTCACAAATCTTTGTAGTTTGCGACATATGACGTTTTTGGTGATTTTTTCAAAAAGTTTCAGAAAAGATAAATTCATTTTTTTTTTCAAATTTTGAAGCTCACAACACAATAGTTGGGCGCTGTCAAAGTACTCTCAGAGGTTGCGAATCTTGCCTCCAAAAATGACTGCTCAAATCTTTGTGTTTTTGAGATGTAATGTTTTTCATGGTTTTTCAAAAAGTTTTTTTTAGAAAGTTGAAGTTTCTCAAGATTTGAAATTCCCAACGCTGTATTTGGGTACTGTGAGAGTACTATCAGGAGCTACAAATTTTGCATTCCAATGCGACTGCTGCTTTGCTTTTAGTTTCCGAGATGTGGAGCAGAACTTCTCAGAATTTTATGGTTTTTTAAAGTATAAGTAAAAAAAACTTATATATATATATTTTTTTTTACAAAATATGAAATTACCATTCTTGTAATTGGGTGCTGTCAGAGTACACTCAAAGGATGCAGACCTTATTTCCAATATCTGCAGTTTTTTATAATTTGTTAAAACCGGTGGTGCGTTACACGGTAGTAGTTTAAATTATTTTAAAATCGACTTTGCATATGTTTATTGCCTCTGACTTTGAGCGGTTCAGCTTTGTAAACTGTGCTTCAAATTGTTTTGTTCTGTTAGGTCTGTAACTGACTAATTTCCTTTCTTACTGGAACTAATGAGTCTGCAAATGTTTTCTTCATCACAATATTAATATGTTGTCGTGTAGTGTGGAAAACATTTTTGTGTCTTTTCAGCCCCGTCAATGGTATGACCTGTGGAGCCTGGCCCAGGAGAGATACTGGGAGGGGGAGGAGAACTACTTGGAGAAGAAGAACAGAATCACCAAGAGGCTCATTGCAGCCCAGGACGAGAAGTCCAAACAGGCCAGAGAGAGGGCCCAACAGCTGGAACAGAAGGTTGCTAATTAGTTTAAATCAGTTGATACGTCGTCAGGGTAGTTGTTTTTGTCCTAGTTTCGCCCCTTCTTCTTGAAAAACAAGGGACACATATGGTGAAAGGGGTGCAAGAGCGTACTTTGAATGCAAATCTTTTGCTGTGGTGGATTTCATCAAAATAAGATCATTTGAATGGATTTTGATCCATGATATTTCAACGAATTGCTGAAGAAATATTGCTAAAGATTTATAGAATTTCAGAAGACTTCAGAAAATGTATCCATCAAAGTTCGAGTTTAATGAGAAAAACAGAAACTGACAATCAGACAGATTTGCTCAGTTTTTATAAGTGAATATAATGATGAATGAGTTTTTTTCTCTCTCAGAGACGTGACCGACTGAAGAGCAAGAAGCAGAAGATAGATGACCATTACAGAGAGTACATCAGAAATGTCCTGGCTCAAGGTAAGACACATAAAGGTCCACTATCATAAATTGAGCTGAGCGTATATTAATTACTCTTTGTTCACCTTTTAAAACATTTTTTATCGAGATGGCATGAAAGAATTTTGAAGGAGTATGGAATGTTGTGTACTTAATCAAAAGAAATCAAGAAAAAAAGTTTCCGTTCTCTTCCAGAATCGTCCAACAGTGCTAAGAATAAATATGCACAGAAGTTACCAATAATTAACTCATAAATAGAAATTTATGCAAAATATGAAAGCTCCTGATAGAAAGGACAGACAAAGCAAATGGGCCTCATTGTGCCCACTAGGCGTCTACAGTTTAATTTTGGCGATTTTTGCAGGAAATGTGACAATGTCCGAGCGATGCAAAATTATGTTAACCCTGAGCGTACTCATACTAGGACTGGGAAAAATAGTTAAAAAAATTATATCTATTGTGATAAACTATCCAGGCTCCTCTTCATATTTTATCAGGACTAAGTTACTAACATTAAAAATCCAATTTTTTGTAAATATGCACGAAATGTGTAATATCTGATTTTTCCGAAGAAAAGAAGTTTCCAGGTTTAGGTATATATCATTTTTCTCTCAAAAAAACTAGAAGCCTAGCTTTCTTGTTTTCGAACAAGTAGGACCTCCAATTAGTTTTGCAAAATGGCTCCGAACTCCGAAGAATTCAAATTTTCTTGTTTTGCGTACTGAAACTTTTTGAATGAAGAACGAATTAAGAAGAAAAAGTTAACATATTTTGTAAACAGAGAAAATACAAAATTTCAGAAGGTCTTAGACATGTAGCTCGAATAATAATATTACGGTTATTATTTCTTTCATGATATCGTCTAGATTTCGTTTGAACAAAATAGGACATAAAAATCTCTTAAGCGAAGTATGAAGCCGGTTTAAGGCTAAAAAAACTGGTACACTCATAAGACAGCAGGTAAATAGTTGGTTAACATTTTGTTTCAGTACTTGCGCGAAATATTTCTGGGAGCAAAATATCAAGTTTTTGGTAATAAACAAGCCAGCTAGCGTGCGCAGTGTAAAAATATGACTCATAATAAAAGTGATATATAAAAGTGATCATTTTGCGGCTTTTTCGGCATATTCATGTTCTGTAGCATTGGGGATTTCATAGCATTTGTTCGTTTTATTGGTGGCTAGTGTTTGCCATTAGTTAAGCGTTAGCGGCTCAGAGGGAAGAACGTGAGATTCCGAAGCTATTGTCTAAGGTTCAACGCCGCGCTTAGCTCTCGGTATATTTATCTTTAGTAGCATTTTTGCTGCATAGCAATAGCAATTTATTGTTCCGACTTCCGATACGAAAGTAACGGAATATTTGTGCTCGGGGTGGCTTTTTTTTCTTCAGACAAATTTCGACTTTTTAACTAGTCATTTTTGACGGATTTTTTTTTATATCATTCAAAATGTTCTGTTGTCTTGAGCTTAAATTTGAAACGATGTTTTAGCTGTGATCAATTTTTGGTAAAGTTATGGGGGTTTAAAGATGGGCATTTTGGCCATTTTCAGACAATTAACGCGCGATATATTTCGCGCTATTAACGCGTAAGCGGAGATTTAATCCGTCTTAGAAATCGTTCCAAATTGGTCGAAGGAAGCTTATTTGCGATAATTGATTTGTTAATAGAAGCGAAATTTATCACTTTGTACTTTATATGGCGTGCGGGGGGATGACTTCCACAAAAAAATTCCACAAAAAAAGTTTTTCATTTTTGTTTCTTTTTTTTGTATCTACTTAACAATTGCCCCCCCTTTGGTATCTACTTAAGAAATGCCTGATTTTTCTATTGACATCTATCACATTTAATTTTTTCATGTTATTGCTTCATAGACCTTGAAAGGCAGTCGGAACATTCAGGGCTTCGCCCTGATACGAGCAGTCTTGTTAGCATCTTTGGCGTCAATAATGGCTAGTGTTAGTAAACTTTCAATGGCCCGTGGAGCAGATGCGAGAATGTGAGACTCCAAATCTTGAGATCTCTAGTTTGAATCCGACACATACCAAATAAAATAATAATTTGAGGCTTATTTCTACCCTTTATAATTTCACTTTCTAGAGCTGCTTTTTGTAGTTTTCTCGCTTGTCTTGCGACGCACAGCTTCGCTTCTGTGTAACCAATGTTGACCTTGAGCAAAAAAAGAGAAATATATCCTGTAATTTGGAACCTAAAGGCATGTCAAAAATAAATTAAGAAAATTAATGGGCGCAGAACCGAATTTTGAGGCACTCCACACGACACGGGCGAACATTTAGAAGGGTTAGCATTAATTACTTCAAATAGCATTTGATCAGATACAACTTTTAAATAATTCAAAATTAACGGCCTTAATTGCAGATAACTGTTATTTTTGAAGCAGAATTTTTTCAGCATCAAGAGCGTTTTTAAAACAATGAAAATAATTGTAATTGATGACTTTACTTTCCGAAATTGACTCTGGCAATGAGTTTTGCTGATGCATCAACAGAAGCAATTTTTGAGACGGAAAATTAATTGATGATTGAAGATCAAATACAAGTTTTTAGATAATTGAACAAGCGGTTTTCCATGTTTTTTTTTTCAGATTTTACAACAAATTTTTAAAACAGAAAAAGGGCGATAACTGTTCACTTCTAATTTGCCTTCAAATTTTTTAAAGAGAAAAATGCGATAACTGGTCACTTCTAAGTTCACTTCTAATTTTCTGTAACGGCTTACAAATTTCAGGATATTCGGAAGAATTCCTGCTAAAATGATAAAGATTGGTAAATAAGTTAGGTTAAGTGCTCAATTATCAACAGTTTTTTTTTCAGAACTAAATTGATGATTTCATCAATGCCTGGAGTGTTTTTTTTTGCATTTTGTTTATCACCTTCACAAAATTGGAATAAGTATACGGAGTTTGATACACAGATTAATTTGCTGCGTTTATCGGTATAATTGTTTTTTTTTTTGAAATCAGAAATGAAAGCATGGGTCCTATAGACGATGAAATTATTGAAGAAACTTCCGAACGCTCAGTTTTTTTCATTACCTTCCATATTAATTAAGTATCTAAAAATAATTTAAAGTTGGCTGAGCTGTCTTTTGCCTAATTGCTTACCTAGCTGTTATAAATAATTATCCATGCTGTTTTTCATAGGTTGATTTCCACCCTTCTCGTTTAATCTCTGACATTCTAGTTGGATAAATGAAGTCATCTTTATTTTTTTCGCTAGAGCGTCTGGACAAGCAGAGGAAGAAATTGCCGGAGATCAAAGAGCACAAAGTGGACTTCTATCCGGAAGTGCATCCGAGCGACTACCACTTTCTCACTGCCGCTCAGGGAATAATGAATGGAGACAACTACTCACAGTTCTACTCGTCGGGCATGCCACATGTCAAGTACTCTGTCGGCGACTTCAGCGAAGGTCAGTCCACTTGTTAAGAAGGAAGGAAGAAAGAAATCACCCTGGAAATTAAATTAAACAAGATTTCTCTAAAATCTTGCGTTCATTTAATTATTTTTTGAGCGCTGAAATGCTCCAGTTAGCCTTTGTTATAAAGGGGTGGCCACGGTGCCACTAGAAATTTCCGTTGCACTTGTTGACAGTCCTATAAATCATTAAAGGTTTTGAAGCAATGTTCTGATGGTTTAATTTTTGAAGCATTAACTCTTTTTAATTGTGCTATAAATTGTCAAACTTTTTTTGGAATTCAGTACCAGCGGTTTTTTTGATACCTTAGCCACCCTGTATGACACCTTGTTCAAACAATGCGTATTTTGATTTCAATAAACTGAACTAGCTCGAGTTAGAATAATTTTTTTTCTCGAAAAGTTATAGGCCTAATTGGTGACACGGGCTTAAATTTTGTGGCCTAGATTTTATGTAGCTCTGACAACTAATTTTTTCGGTCGACCGAGCGTGTCTGCTGGGTTACAGCAAATTACCTTCTATCTCTTATAGTGTTTTCGTCGAAATCAAATTTATTTGAAGTCAAAAGTTGCAAAAAAAACTAATCAATTTTTGCATTGTTTATTCGAATGCCTTTTACCTCTACTATTTTTATTTTTGATCGCTTTTGTGAAGTACTTAGGTTGAATCCAATTTGTTTGGCCCGTGGAAATAAAAAAGAATTGTTCCGACCATTTGAAAAATGGGGAGGAACTTTGTTTTCGGGTGTTATAGTTTTTTTGTTGTCCACACAAAATCAGGTTCCTCAAATAATTATGGGAATTGGTCGAATGATTAAAATTTTGATTTGGCGTATATTAGAGCGAATAAAATTATCGAGCCGCCTTATTTTTTTTGTCAACCAAATCAGTTACCACAAACAATCTTTGGATTTGGATTGATATATCATACTAAAGCATTTTCAGCCCTGATTCATAAGACAATCTCAGTTGTACGACAGCAATTGTTTATGTCACCTGGAACGATCCCAAAATCGAGAAAAACAGGTTTAAAGTTCGAGCAAATAATGCGAGCGAGCAGGCTTACAATAGCAAGTTCTTGCTTAATTTAGGCCATTAAAACATAGATTTATTCAAGTAAAGTTGTTTTTTGGATTTTTTTCAGCGCCATTTGGGAATTAAAAACTTCAAAAATTTAAAAATGTTCTGCAATTTTTGTCTTTTTTACTATGACTGTCAGATATTCTCAAGTCCTAGTTTTTGTTTGGATCCTTTTATCACATCACGCAGAAAAAAAACGACTCTAATGTGAAAAAAAAACTTTGGTTTTTGTATTATCTTAGACTATGATCGAAACATTCTCTGCTACTTGCACAGTAACCGGCCATCCTTCTTTTAAACTATAGTGGATATTTAATAGAAATTTATGAACCCTGACTTCGTCTATTTTCCTTTTTGCTCGGATTTCTTCCGCCTGAACGTTTTTTTGGCTTAATGGTCTAATTTTGCGCCTTTGAAGGGAAATTTTTACGCCCCCTTTCTCCCCCCTCCTGAAACACAAAAAAAACGATTAAATTTTATAGAAATTCTTCCAAATTTAGTTAGCGCTTGCTATATGTTTCTGGATACTTATTTCGCGCCGGCGCTTGTATTTGCTTGTGTTATGTTTTTTTAATGTGGGATCGCAATTAGAGCGCAGCTCCGTCACCCCTCGCCTCTTTAAAAGATGAATATGAAACACTGAGGCGAGGCTACCCCGGCGCCAAAGCTCGAAAATTAAAAAGATGAATATGAAGCACAATTTTGAACTTTGGCGCCGTGGTAGCGCTGAAAGACTCTTAAAAACTATATTTTCGGAGCTTATAACTAAGTTTTTCACAGTTTAATTGATACTTTTTGCTCATTTCTATCGCCGCACCAGCTCTTAATTCTAAAAAGAAGTAAAATTTTCAAACCAGTTTTTCTCGACACACGAGTCTTAAAAAATTTAATTAATCACATTGGCAACGGTTTCATAATGATAAATCAATTTCTCATCTGGAGTTAAATTGTGTTAGTAATGTTGCCGGGAATAAGAAGTTAAAGTAAAAAAACAATAAACATCTAAAACGCAACCGAAAACAAAACTCCTTCCCACTGCTTGGTAGGGAACAAAATTTATAGGATGCCTTGGTGCTCTTCAGGGTTAACTGAAGGCGAGCATGACAGTAGTGGATCGCCGGCGAAGAGAGAGACGAGGACTCCGGAGTTGCGGGACACTGATGTACACCATGTGCACTATGACCCGACGAGTGAGGAGCAGCAGTCCAAGTACACCAACATCATCACCAACAGAGCACTCCCAGAACACATCAAGGCCATTCTCTCCAGGCACGCTTCTATTATATAGTTTGAAGCTCTTTTGAACTTTTATATCGCATGGAGAACAAATAAATATGTTCAGAATCCTATATATTAAATATAATGCGCTATAGACGCAATGTTTTAACTTTCTATCAAGCGCATTGTTTAATCAATTATTTTTAGTACGTTCGCTAAGAATATTCTCAATCTGAAATGTTGTAATCGTTTTTCTAAGTATCAATGAACGAAGTCAAGACACTTAAATACAGCGTGTCTTTTTCCCTTTTATTCAGGAAAAGTCTAAATGTGTTCTTGCTCAACTTAGATTTTTCGCGATTTGATTTTTGTTCAGTTCTTTTTTTTTTGTTAAAGGAAAGGCAAACTCCACTATCGAACAGCAAAAGTGTAAATACCACGAAAAACGTGATCGACTTCTAGTAAAGTAAGTTGATTATTTTTTAGATTTTGAAACGATGTAACAAGATAACGTATTAGTACAGTTTTCTCAAATTGTTTCAATTTTTTCAATAAAGTCAGTCAGAAATTGTTATTGAAATTCAAGAAGCCTTAAAGCCATATATTTTTCTTCAAAGTTCGAAAGCCGAAATTTTTTCAAAAAACGTTTCAGTGTTTTTTGTTTTGCATTTATTGACCCCTGCAACTGTCAATTGGCTCTGTTTTTTGAAAAGTCAACACTTGAGACGAGATTAACATTTGAGAACCACTTTTTTTCGTCAACTTCAGATTTTTTCGTGGATGTTTTAATTTCTATGAGCCAATTAAAATCAACAACCCATCTGCCGGTTCCATGACATTCTACCCTATTCCAAGCTACCCTGTGCTAATCTACCCTATACTATTCTATCCTACATACCAATCTACCCTCTACCAATCTACCCTATACCATTCTACCCTATAATTAAAGCAAATGAAACTTACCCCATCCTCTTGAAGAATCCGAAACAGTGTATTTCAGAACAAATCATAGAACCATTAATTATGATCGAAGAATAATTGACGCACGTGAACAAAATATCAAAGCAACGTAAAACTTGCTTGTTCAAAATGGAAATGAGTTCAAAGCATGAACGAACAGAAATTTTAATCCAATGTTGCTATAGAAATGCGTTGCGGCTATTTCTTAAACAAACAAAAGTCATATCACATCAAGTCGACATAGCTTAGCGGATAATGCATGTGTTTGAAAATCAAAAGTTCGAAAGATCAAATCACCAAGAAGACAAATTTTGAATGAAATTCGAAAGTTACTGAGGGTTTGACTAGTTGATCGCAAAAGGAGGAGGGGTAGACCCCCAGTACCAGGCCAAGGTGGTACTGGGGGGCGGGGTGAGGGAGAAGGTAAATTTCTTTTGATATTGGCCTCTATTACCTCCCAAAATTTCAGCCCTCTACGGCCACGGGAACCTCAAAAAGTGTATTTCTTAAAAAAATTTAATTTAAATTTTTGAAAAATTCACGAAAATTGATCAAATAAACAGAATTAGGAATAACTTAATTGCGCGAGAGAATACAAATATGTTAAAATAGAATCTTTGTTAAAATTGTTGCAAATGTTTTTCACTTTCTCATTCAATTCCCTGTACTTCTTTCCACTGGGGTTGCTGTTTCCTCCCATTGGTTTCATTATATTGAATTTCTGATTGGCAGCATCCAGTTTGATTTGTTCCAGAAAGGTGTGAACGGATGGGTGGTTTCCTGTAAAGAGAATAGCAACGCCAAGATGCCAGCCTTCTACAGCATTTGTTGTCCTTATTAACCCAGCAGCTGCTTCTTCCGAATGATGCCAAAGGTTTACAGGAAAGAGAGGTTCGCGAGAGTTCCTTCCGATGGTTTCGCCTTTGATGTAAATGCGCTGGAAGTATGAGGCTACCTCATCAAGTTTTTCAGTGATGTTTTCGTCAAGATCAAATTTGTCCGACACGTTTTCGATTTTTTCAATAACCAAGTCAAAAGCAGCATTGACCGTTTCAACTGGTATAAAACTTAGAGCTGGAATTAAGCGCAATGACAAATCAAGATCGTGATTAGTTTCGTACAGTCGCTTTAGGCCCACTTCGTTTATCTTCCGGTTGAACGCTTGACATAAATGAAAATAGCAGCCTTTCAGCAACGCTCCGGTATGATGACTAGCGAAAGCGTTCAGTGCTGCACGTTCAAAATCGAGGAGAATGCAGTGAGGCTCGGTGTTTTCGGTGATGGCTGATAACCCCTTCAGTAGCTTTTTGTAAGTGTGTTCTGTTTTGTTGGGCAACAGTGCATAAATGCAGGGGGGGGGCAAAATCCAGCGAGTTGAATGTAGATGGTATAAAGTTGATAAAATTGAATCGGGCAAACTTTGAACGTTCCATCACACAGCCAAACATCTCGATGTAATATCAAACTCTGGATGTTGTCCCGATCTCCAAAAATCAGCACCCTTTCTGGATCTTCAATGCCGCTATCGAAGACGCAACAATCCTCGTGTTGCTTTGGCACTTCAAAATGTGTGTCGACAATTGGAGGCAATGTGGGTCTATCTTTTACCTTCTGTCGATTGAGGGCCCGATTAATCACCGACCGGCAAGAAAGAGCTATTGAACTGCTTTTTCTTCGGAGACATACTGCAGGCCGTTTGCTATAATTATGCTATTGACTGGTACTTGCTGAATTTTTGTGTCCTGTTTCATTTTCTGCACGAGAAGCCTTGCATCCGAACGACCAGGAAATAATTCGTGCGTGTGCTCATTTCTAGAGGAAATAAGATCGTTTTCTCGGGTTTTTGCTGTCATTTTGCATTTATGGGACCCCCATCTTGAAAACTTCCAGTGAATGTTTCCATTCTTTGTTTCCTGTTTTTTCGTAAACTCGTGGCCACCGATTACAAGCGTTCTCCGATTCTGTTGGGATAGACCCCAAGAAATTTGACTCATTTTGGTAAATGCTATTCCAAGGAAAATTGATATAATGACGTAGTTTTGATTTCATTTTTGTTCGTGATTTTGAAAATTGGGGATTAAAACTTGTTAATTGAGACAAGTTTCAGATTTTGAGGCTCTAATTGCGATTTAGTCTTTAGAACAATTTCCTTAAGTGAAAGACTCAAATTTAGTTGAAAAATTTAGACTCAAATGAATTAACACGTGCTGTTTCTTTCCGAATCTAATTAGGACTTTGAAAGATTACATTATGGGACCTCATTATGGTATATAGGGCAGATTAGTATAGGGTAGATTGGTATGTATGGTATAATGGCATAGGGTAGAATGGTATAGGGTAGTTTGGAATTTTGGAATAGGGTAGATTGTCCTGGCACCTATCTGCCTTTTGTCGCAAAACAGTCAAAATTTTGTTAGTGTGCATAAAAAAACGTTTACGAACTGATTCACTTTTTTGCTAACTGATTCACTCTATGAAACAACATGAAATATTTCAAAGTTAATGGCTCAATAGGTTGATAAAACTATCTTTTTGCAAGTTAATTCAAGCTCTGGAAACAAAGAATAGTGTGCTTGAAACCTTCAAAGTTTTACGATTCGAATCATGCGATTGAAAAAAACCCGATATTTCTTTTAATGCTCATCAATATTCTAGCTCATTAGGTTGCTTGATTTTTTTTTGCGATTCGATTTAAGCTATGAAAACAACTTGAAAAGATTCAAAGCTTTATTGCTCAGTAGCGTGCTGGGAAAACTTTATTTCTTCTTCAATGGGTTCAAGCTATATAAAAACCTAAGGTAATTGAAAGTTTTATTGCTTATTAATTTTTACATGAGCTTAAGAAAACTTTTTGCAAATCGATTCAAGCTCTGAAAACAACTTATAGTATTTTAATTACGATTTACGGGGCACAACTTCATTGCAAAATGTCAAAGTATAATTTGCTTTCGAAGTTAAGAGTTCAAATGGGGGAGTTGTAAAGAGCCAAAATCGATTAGTTGATTGGAACAATCAGAATTAATTAAAAGCTACTTTCAACAAGTTTTGCTTGCACTCTTAGATGGTCAGAACACTTCGAATCATAGTTTTGTCTGTAGAACAGGGACGAATCTAGGATTTTCTCGACGCAAAAGGCACTGATTTTTAAAAAAAATCAAAGTTTGTTGACTTTTTTTAGGTCGATCAAATTGATTTTCCGAGCGCTCCCCCAAGCTCTATAAAACCCTATTTGACCAAAACTTGCGCCGCTGGCAAATTTTTGAAAAAAAAAGGTCTTTTTGGGCACTTTTTTGAAAATTTTGACCAAAAAATTGCGTTTTTTCAGCGCGCTCTCCCCGCCAAAAGTAGTATATATTGGCGCCTGAGGCGCTTTTAGAAAATTTTTAGGGTTGTTTGGCCCAAAATGGATGTCATAAAATAATACCAAAGGGGGACCCTTTGGTTGATGAGGGTGCGACTCCTTGTAGGTGGACGCCCGCAGCCCCCCCCCCTTAATCTGCTCCTGCTGTAAAATAAAATCTATTGCATGCAAAAATGCCCTGGAGTAGTTCAGCTGCTGTGTTCGATCAATTCCGTCTGTGTCCATTTTTTTGCAACTCTAATTAAGACAATAGTTTTAGCAATACTCTTTACGGTTAACACATTGTTATCGCAGTTAGATTATAAGTATTTTTTGACCAATTAAAGAGCAAGTTTGCCCTTACTGCGAATAATTTGTAAGTAACTTTAGATACTTTGAATGAATGATTTAATTCTTCCAGTGCCATCCCATACTTAACATAAAGTAAAGTGGTGAAGAAAGGGTTGTCTATGCGTACATCATAGATTATACATGAGTTTCATTGAGATATCTTAAAAGGGGAAAACACTGTCAGTTATAACAAATTTATATAAAACGAGTGGTTTTAGCATTCAAGAATGTTGTATTTTCTCCGCCCCTTCGATTGATTGATAATGTTGACAAATTTATTGTAGTATTTATTCAAGAAATGAAAGTTATTGAGAATTGTAGTCGAAAGTTGGAAAAATGGAGTTGCATGGGTGGATCTAGAGTTTCCACAAGGGGGATTGGATGCCATTTCAAAAAAAATTAAATGAAACGCAAAAATTGCAGTTTTTTGTAGTCTCCCTAAGTGTTAGCTTTTTACCGTGTTGTGGTCAACTAATGCTCTTTAAGAAAAATTTAGGATAAGATGGCCAAAAATGGATGTTATGATATTTTACCTACGAACTCCCCTCTCTCCTCTCAATCCGCCTGTCTAACATCGTTGTGTTACTGATATGTTTTCAACTATCATCTTGTGTTACAGGACATTTGGTCCCTTTCTGGCCAACTACTACATCAACCCACACGCACCTGCCATCAGGATGAAGGACAAGCCCAGAGTGGACTTGAAGAAGGCGGCGGCCGATCGCAGTGAGTAGTGTTAAGTTGTCATAATTCGAATTATTTTTTGAATTTGGATAGTTTTTTAGCGAGATCAAGTGATTTTTTATGTTAGATAAGACCCTTGCGAGCGGAAAATAAAGACAAGAATAATTATTTTAGTATAATTGCAAAATGTTTTTCACGTGTTACCGCTTAAAAATCCCACGTGTAAAGCGAACCCGGTCTTCTAGACAGTTCAAATTTTAGTTTCACTTAAGAGTTGAGATGAATCCTACATCCGCTACAATTATAACCCTATTTTTGTTCTGTTTTTTCTCAGTGGGCGGTCGACAGATGTGGCGGAAGATGAGGACAGAGTCCAACAAGGGAGTGGAGAATCTAGGCAACAGGGTCATCTCACACGAAACTGCTGTAAGTCAAACAAACTATTGTTGTCTGCTCTTCAAAACTATTTCCGAATAAGCAAACCGTAGCCTGCTTCGAGGTTACTTGTGTCGTTCACCATGCAAATTTTGTTGCAACGTTAAAATTGTTTTTTAAAATTAAAATTCAAATTTCGATTGATTGAGGGGGGGGGGGGGCTTGTGGAAGTGATTAAGAGTCCAATTGTTCTTTCAGAAAGCGTTTGAAGCGTACGTGGAAGAATCCAAAAGAGAAGAGAAGCAACCGCTACATCTGTTCAAGCCATACTCTCAACGTCATCATGTAAGTTCTTTGCGTTCAAATTTTGAGTAACAGAGCTAAGAATTGGAAACTGGTGTCTTGCAATCGGGAACTAGGCTTCTTTTCCCGTGCTGCTTGTTGTAATTGCAACTACTGATGTGCTTGCTGCTATTATAAATAGTTAGTTCAAACCTCTTGTTAAATTTCCATTAGTTTAATTTAAAAGTTTATTTGAAACAAGGAATATGGTTAGAGACAATTAAATAGGGACTTAGAAGAAGAAGAAGAAAAAAAGACTTAATTCCAATTTGTAGAAACAGAAATGAAAGAACATAAAAAACGGTGGACAGAAATTTAAGAGCAGCAATTTTTACAAAAGCATTTGACAAAATACGAACACAAAAAGTCTGTTAAATGTTGAAAGTTTAGCAAATAGAAAATTGTTCAGATCCGATTTCAGCTTATGCAAAAACACGTCAAATCTGATTTTGTGCTGATACATAAGCTCTTTTGCACATTTTGTAGCCCTCACATTGTAGTTGCTATCGGAACTGAACGTCTTAGTGCATGGAATGTTGAAAAATCCGATTGTTGATGATCTCGCTTCTAACGAAGGACCATGTCAGCTTTAATTACCTGGAATCTGATCGGCGCTAATCGAAGGTTTCTCAAGGCTGAAGCATAGTCTTGTTTGTTAGAAATCCAACGAACTACTTTCGGCGGGAATTTTTCTAGTTTCTTTAAACTAGTAAGGGAAGGGGACCATACATGGGAGCCATGTAGCACTAAAGAAAGAAAACGTGATTTAAATCTAATAATGATTCAACAAAAAACTTCAAAACAAAAAAATCAGAAATAAAAACATACGGTTGTCTTCAAGGATGCTCGAAAAAGTGTCGACCTGACCTTTTCTGATATGATTCAAAATATAATTTTTCCGGGAATACTTGAATTGTGGACCATCTGGCTTTTTTCTGTATTTTTTGTCGGCTTAGTTTCCAAAGCATCGGTTTTTCATCTGATATACACATGTAATTAAAAGACGTTCTATGTTTTGAATTTAATTCAAATTTGATTTTTCATAATTTCTTACTGAAATGTCACTTGGAAACTTCGGCTTGTCTTTCATCGGTTATTCATCTTTTTTTTGCCCGTTGTAACGACCAAAACAAACTAGATTTTATGTTTTTGTGTGTTTCAGGAGAGATGAGACAAAACTTTTAGTATCGAGTTTTTTTTCAACTTTTTTTTTTGGCTCAACGATGTCTACCCAAGTGTTGTGGGCCTAATACTCGATAGGCAAATTTTCTGAATTCCTATTTAACTTTGGCATTGTGTTTCTTGGCATAATTGCCTGTCAGTCAAGATCATTCGAGACAATCGTTTGAAAATTTTGTAGCTGAAGTTCGTCTTCTTATAAAATATGTACTTTTGATTCAGTGGGTTACGTCTTATCTCTCCGCTATCTTGCAGAGCAATGTTTGTGTTGTATCACATGAATTGCAAAACTCAGATTCCATCTGTTAAAAAAGCGAGCTGCGTAATATGCATAATTAACTTGACTGTTCACAGTCGCAATGTCTCTGCAATCATTTTTTAGTTTAACGTTGTCATCGGACCATTACAAATGGGGAGGAACCTTGTTTTCAGTATTTTTCATCGTTTTCCACGCAAAGTTAGGTACCACAATCAGTCATCAGGTTTGGTCGAGTGATATATCATACTAAAGCCCTTCAGTCGTGATTCAAGCATCAAAGTTTTTTTTTGAAAAATTGTTTATTAAGTTTCATTAAGAACTGGTTGGAAACTTTCAACTCTTAATCTAAATTGAGGGGACAACGCGATCGAGTAACGTTTTTTCTTTGAAAATTGGTCGTTTAGGCTAAGAAAACTTGATATTATTTAAAAAATAAAACCTTTTTTGTGAATCTTCATTCAGCGCTTGTTTCTTAGGCCAAAAAGTTTACTTGATTTTTTTAAAAGTTTTTTGCATATTGTTTTAGACAAATGTGTACGATTATGTCTAGTTTTCTAACTTTATACGCGTTTGTTAAGTTTTTTCATCTCATTGGGCACAAAATGGAAACTAATGAAAGAAGAAAAAAAGAAAAAACTTATACGTAGTTTTTTTATGAATGTGGTCAGAACATACTTTACTTACTTGCTTGCTACTTTACTTGCACAGCAACTTGCTATCCTTGTTCAATTTGATTCTTAGTTCATAGATTTAATCGTTTGGTACGTCCAAGTAATTTTTGCTCAATGAAAGCAGTATCCATTAAGTTTGCGACAGTTTACTATCGTAGTTTTTGTCAAAAGTTTGTACGTAAGGTTTCGACTTCCGGCTTCTGGAGAAATAGATTGCACAGACGTTCAAAATTGCAGATTTAATGTAAAATTTCTTATTTTGTTGCAGCAGAACCGAGAAAAAAGTGCAATACTGTACTGATCGTCAGTCGTCGTTTTCGCAGCTTTAAATTTTAAATTAAAATGGAATGCAACAACTCGCATTCTTTGCGGAATAGTGCAAAATGAATTTGGCATGTTGATTTTAAATTCCGAACTAGAGTAGAGACGTCTTTATTGTCATCTGGTCCGAATTAGCAGATGTTTCGTATCGTCAGTTTTCAAAGTACCTCGAATTGCGGCTTTCGAACAATTGTCACTTTATTCGAAGATTATTGATGAATTCAAAATTATTTCCAGCTTATCATTGTATTGTGGTATTTTTTTGTAGAAAAAGCATGCTGTCACTGCTGTTGATCCATCCCTACCAAATTTGGAAAGAAGTGCTCAAATGTACGAGACTAAGACTAAAAATGCGTCCATGTGCAAACTAATTTCGGAAGCCAACGAGGATCGAACTAAGCTGCTGACTCATAACAACGACGCACACCAGAAGTCACTGGCTGTCAGTTTGGAAGACACTGAGCCGGTTGACTATATACCTTACATTGAGATACTGCGAGAACTGGACGAGATTGTGAAGCACTATGAGGCTCACGCCGTTAGTTCAATCAAGTTTTTTTTTTGCTAGAAATTGCGAATAGCTATGTGTTTTCCAGAACACGGTGATTTTAAATCCATGTTTAGTTTTTAGAACAGTTGTTGATTAGATTATATAACTGGGACTTGATGTACAATGAAAAAGAGATGCATGAGTGCTGTTATTATATCTTCAGAGAATAGATTATTTGATTGTTTTTAGGATGAAGAGCCCATTGATAGCAAACGAGTGCTGCCATTGAAGCCGGATCCACATGCTGATGCCATTGCAAAGAAATTAGGAGCCTCTAAGTGAGCAGTTTATACAAATGAACATACCACGTATCGTTCATTAAAGACAAAAAGTCTGACTGAAAAATTGTGTCTCGAAACTTCTTCAAAAGGGTATTTCAGTTAGATACTGTGAATGAACGTTGTAAGCTCTTAGTTATGATAGATTTTCTTGTTACCCTTGCAATAAGCTAGGGTTTTGCAACGGGGTGCAAGATTTTTTCCCTTGAAGAACTTTGTTCTCACGATTTTGCACTAAATTTTACACGTGTTTTGAAGTGTTTCATAATAAATTCAAAATCAATCAACCATCTGGCGCAGAGGTAGCACACCTGCTTGAGACGACAAAGGCCTGTCGTTCAAATCCGGCTGGGACCTTTTATTTTTCATTTAGCGGATTTAGGAGGGGGTTGCGGACGCCCCCCTTCCTCAAGGATTCGAGCCCCTGCCGACCCAAAGGGTCCCTTCTTTGTACTATTTTGAGATCTCTATTTTTAGCGTGGTACCCTAAAAATTTTCTAAAGGTGCCTTTGGCGCCAACATTCACCAATTTTTGAGGGGGGAGCGCGCGCCGAATAAACGCGATTTTTTTTTGGTCAAAATTATGCAAAAAGTGCCTAAAAACGTCTTTTTTGGCCGGAATTTCTTGTTACCTTGCAAATAGCTAGGGTGTTGCAACGGGCTACAAGATTTTTTCCCGTGAATAACTTTGTTCTCACGCTTTTGCACTAAATTTTACACGTGTTTTAACTTGCTTCATAATGAATTCAAAATCAATCAACCATCTGGCGCAGAGATGGCACACCTGCTTGAGACGACAAAGGCTCGTCGTTCAAATCCGGCTGGGACCTTGTTTTTTTCATTTGTGTCGGATTAGTTCTTTTAGATGTGTTCTTCTATATGTGTTGGTGATTTTTTTTCAGGAAAAAGTTCTATTAAAAATTGTTCACGCTCAATTCTGATTTTTCGCGGTTTTACTTTTGATTTCTTTTTCAGTTCACTTCACTTCTTTAGTTAAAATAAAGGCAAACTCCACTATCTAACAGCAAAAGTGTAAAGGTCACGAAAAACATGATCGACATCTATTTTCGAAAATGGAAATTAATTATCAGATTTCCCAGCGAAATAAAAGTTATACCTATTGATCCAGTTTTCTCATTGGGTTCGTTTTAAAAAAGTTGTGTCCATCTTAAACTGTTTTCCTAATTCCAAGAGCTGTAAGGACATTGATTTTTTTCTTCGAAAATCAGAAGTTTTTTTTTCCTTGCGTTCATCCTCTTTTCCAGCTGTCAGTCGGCTATGTTTTTTTTTCTGTTCGATGATTCATTTTTCTTCTAAGTTTCTAAATGAGAATTCTCTAGTCTTAATGGGGAAAGTAGTTGACTTTAAGTTTTTTGAAAAGTTTTGGTACATACCCTTGCATACCTTTTAAGAAAACAAAAATTTGATTTTTTTTGTGTTTGTTACTCTGTAGATTAACACGGAATTGATACGCATGTGATAATTATGCTGGCAATAAGCAAGCCTTGTCACTTCGAAACACTGAATTTTTCTTGTAAACAACTTGTACAACAAAATCGCTGAATCATTTTCTCAAATCTGCACTTTCGTCAACAATTTTTGAGCATTTCGAAACCCTTTTCATTCACTATTTTTTTAGTGTTGGCTTACAATCTACCAACTTAGGTTCGGTATAATTTTACTATTACTAACAAGTTAACTATGCGTGTCTTTTGAGGGGTGTTTTGATATGTTTTAAAAGTTTATAAGTTTTTATGAAAACATTTTTTTGGGCCAAAGTGTGTCTGCTCAAAAATTGTCGGCTTTGTCACCGCTTCCCATTTTGTTTCGATGCAAATTGAAATTTCAATTTACTTTGGAAAGTTTTTTTTAAAGGTGATCTTCATTTAAGACACAGGTATGAAAATTTTGGTAGATCTAGCGTCCCTCGACTTTTTCATCAGAAATAATATCGACTTCGGAGTTTTCGTCTCAAAATTTGTCTGCTAGTTTGTCATGCTATTTTTTGCTGTATCGCAAGTGGTGCGAAGCTTTGCTTCACCTCTGTGTTACATTTGCGATGAGTTTGCTGTAGCAAATCGATGCGTAAATTTTTGGTTTACATTTTTGCGAAGCTAAACTTAGGCAAAATGCTTGATTGTTTTATCCGCTTTATTAAATTGTCTTGGTATGTCTTATTAGAAGCAGCTAGGAAAGTTGGCTTAGCCGTTTCGACGAATGGTTAAAACTCGAGACGCGGGTGGTTTGAATATCATTTTATTGCTTGACGTCTTTTTTGAACGATGTTTAACTTTATTGTTTTTGTCTGTTGGTTTTCTTCTTGGCTGTTAGAAAACAAAGTGTTTTCAGTTATGGTTGCCCAGTGAATAGTTTTTCGTATAAATACTTCCCTAATGACCATTTGATCATTGAGCGTCGGACAAAGAACGTTCCTTTTTCGCTCGACAGGAGTTTGGCTAAAAACACGCCGATTCTTTTCACGCACTAAGTCTTTTATATATTGGATGTTCGATCCACTGAGTAATCTTGTCACTTTATTTTTTGTAGATTTGAACTGTGAATCTATTATATATTTAAATGCGGGCATCACTATCTTGCCATGCAAGCTTTTTCAACGTATTATTTTGCATGTTTAAGCTATATCGTATATTGCAATGGTTTAGAATTTTTTTTCAATTTTCCAATTTGATTTTAGTGGTTATTTTACCGAGTTTAAATTAAACAGCCCAATATCGAATTAAGGGTTGCGAATTTGGCCTCCATTTTTGAATGCCCGAATCATTTTAGTTAACGAGATAAGACGATTTTTGTGATTTTTTCAATAATTTTCAGAAAGTTCAAATTATTTTTATTTTTTAAAAATCTGAATTTCTCAACCCTGTAGTTGGGCACTGTCAGAGTACTATCAATGATTGCGAATCTTGCCTCCAAATATGACTGCTCAAATCCTTGTAGTTTTCGAGATATGATGTTTTTTGTGATTTTTTCAAAATTTTCAGAAAGTTTCAATTAATGTTTCTCAGAGTTTGAGTTTCCCAACCTTGTAGTTGGGTGCTGTCAGAGTACTCTAAGGAGTTACAAATATTGGCTCCAAATATGACTGTTCAAATCCTTGTAGTTGTCGAGGTATGACGTTTTTTGTGATTTTTTCAAAAAAATTTCAGAAAACTTATATTAATTTATTTTCGCAAAATTTGAAATTCCCAACCCTGTAGTTGGGTTCTGTCAGAGTACTCTCAAAGAGTGCGAATCTTGCCTCCAAATATGACTCCTCAAAGCTTTGTCTTTTTTGAGATATGACGTTTTTTTTGATTTTTTCAAAATTTTCAGAAAGTTTTAATTAATTATTTTTCGAAATTTGAAATTCCCAACGCTATAGTTCGGTGTTGTCAGGGTACTCTAAAGAATTGCAAATATTGCCACATGCGACTGCTCAAATGCTTTGAGTTTCCGAGATGCGACGTCTTTTGACTTTTCAAAATTTCTCAAAAGAACTTCTCCACAAAGAAATTCAAAAAATTTGAAACTACGAGCTTGATGAAGATAGAACCTTATTGTCAGCGTACACCCAGGCGACTCAAATCTTGCCTCTTAATATGAATGCTCAAATCCGTTTAGTTTCCGAGATAAGACGTTTTTTCAATATTTTTTTTGGGAAACAAAATTTCGAGTTCCCAACCCTATAGTAGGGTGCTCTCAGGGACTCTCAGTGGTTGCAAATCTGGCCTCCAAATTTCACTAGAGGCCCATTAAGTTTTCGAGATGACGCTTTTAAAATGAAATTTACAAAAATTAAAAGTTCGATTAAAATGGAATTTAAAAAAAATTAAAAAGTTCGAAATTACCAACCCTGTAATTGGGTGCAGTCAGAGTACACTAAAAGTTTGCAGATGTTGTTTCCAATATATGCGGTTTTTCATGAGTTGTCGAAAAATTTCGAAGCACCGGACGTGCGTTAAACGCTAGTATACTTTAAATGCTCGACCTATGCCGTTTTGAGCCGCTCTGTCGATGGTTTTTGTTCCGACCATGAAAATCGGGATGATCTTTGTGTTCTGTTTTTTTTTCCACGCAAAACCAGGTGCCCTAAATAATCATCCAACTCGGTTGGGTGATATATCGATCGTTTTGAAGCCCTTTTAGTCGTGATTCGGCCATGAAATTTTAGTTTTGTTATAGTAAAATTGTTTTCAAAAGTTTTTCCGCGCTGTCTCGCGAATGAAATGAAATGAGTATGGTCGGAACATTCTGTGGTACTTGCACAGCAACCGGCTATCCTTGATTCTTTTCGTATGTATATTGAGGATATAGTTTCATGTGAATTATGAATGCCGAGGGTATCTGAAACTAGTGAAGTCAAAGCAGCAAAGGGTTAACAGGAAGGCAAACTCGATATTGAACGTCTAAAGTGTAATGGTCACGAAAAACGGAATGCAAAATTTACCCTTGATCCAGTTTTCTCAAATTGCTTTGTTATAATCAATAAGTGCCATTCATAAATTGTTCTGTAAATTCATTTTTTTTTTACATTTTTAACAGTAATTATTGTAGTGAAGACTTATATAGGTCTTAATGATTTTTGTTTGTTTTTTTTTCAGGAAAAAGTCTTTTTCGTTAACCAATTTTGTTAACTAAATTAAAGTTTTCACTCCTATTGTGGGGTCCTGTCAGGCAGCACTCAAGAGTTTCAAATCTGGCGTCCAAATATGACTGCTCAAATCATTTTGGTTATCGTGATATGGCGTTTTTTTATGATTTCGTTTTAAAAAAAAACCTACATATAAAAAGAATTAATCGAGCTTGCAATTCTCAACCTTATAGGGGCGTGCTGTCAGCGTACATTGTTACGAATGCTTGAATTTATGAATGCACTTAGGAATAATGCACTTTTTGAGTTCAATTGAAGTTCATCTGCTGAAAGTGACCTAAATAGCACTCTAAAAAAATATATGAACCTGGAAATGGCGCGAAAAAACGTGAACGATTTCTAATTTCGAAAGTGGAATTTATTTTTAAGATTTTTCCAGCGGAATAAAAACTTTACCTATTGATCCAGTTTTCTCAAGTTGGGTTCAAGGTATCAGAAAATCGCCAATTATAAATTGTTTTAGAAATTCAAAGAGCTTAAATGGCATCTATTTTTTTCTTTAAAACCTGAAAGTTTTTTTTTCAAGAAGTTCAGTGTTTTTTTTATGTTTACTTGCGTTCATTATTTTTTCCAATCTTCGATTGGCTATTTTTTTTTCTTCAAAATTTGGAATGTTTTCAAAAATCAAGTCAGTGTTTTTTCTGTTTTCCTTCGTTCATTGACTTTTTCCACGTGTCAGTTGGCTGTTTTTACACTATAAGTCGTTTTTTAAATGTCAATGAACAAATTGAAGATGCTTATATTGGCCGTGTTTTTTTTTGTTTTTTAGGGCGAAGTCTCAAAAGGTGTTCACTCTCAAATTTGCTCGATTTGACTTTTCGCTCTCAAAATAATAAAGGGGCAAAAGGCTGAAAAACGTAAATGACTTCTAGTTTCAAAGTCTTTTTTGCTTCGAAGTTTAAAGTGGAATACTAAATTATCTTTTGATCGAGTTTCGCAGATTGTGTTAGTTTAGAACCATGTATGAGTGATAATATTTTTTGATTAGAAACCATGATGATATATTTTTTCTTTGGTACTCCAAAGTTAGATTATTTGGATCTTGTTAACTATTCCCCCCCCCTATGGTACCTTGTAGCGAATCCCCCCCTATAAAGAAAGAATTGAACAGTTAAGCATATACAAATTTGGTACCTTGTAACGTATCTCCCCCCTATTGCAATAGGGGGGGGATTGTTAATCAAATCCGATTTTTTAAACAGGCGTTTTTTCCGGTCTCTTTGATTTCGTTGACATGTTTATATCTGTCTGCTGGCTATTTTTAGTGTTTGCAAATGTTAAGATGCAGGCTAGCGTACTCTCTGAATTGGAATGTTGTCCCAAAATGGAGCCTTTTTAAAATGTCCCCTTCTAGTTTTTCTATTTTTCTATCAATTCCATTCACTCTAGTATCGCAAGTGGTGCAAAGTTTCGCTGCGTCTCTGCGTTGAGGTTTGATATTGTAGTTGAACATTTAATGTTCCGTGCGAGTCCTAGGTTCAAGTCCGATTATTTTAATGATACTCTGGCATTTTCCCCGACAAATTGTGCCAAGTATGAAGGAACTATGGCCTTCGTGCATTTTTTCTTATCGCGATTTCAGGTAACTCCTAGAGCACAAATGTTACATCAGATTAAATATCTTTCATGCACAATTCGGATTTAGTTTGGAAACATCCGAGAAACATCGGTCGAAGAGATTTCGTTTTTGAGACTGATTTACAATGGAGATGACGATTTTTCTCCTTCATTATGGTTTAACATCGTTGCACCTCATGTAAGCCATAAGGTACCTAATTTCAGTTTTGGTTGCTCTTTAATTAATTTTTTCCGTAGTATATTTGCTTTTATGGTAGTTCAGAAAGCTAACCAATGACAGACTTTATATGTAAGTCAACTGCTGTCGTCACTTTTCTTTTAAGTTTAAAACAACTTAAGTTTTTAAGTTTAAGATTGGCTTTAAGTTTTGTCATAATTTTTTCTTGCTATTCGATCAAGTTTGCTTTTTGATTCTTTGATATTTTATATTTCTATTCAAATCTGTTGTCCAGATTGAAGTTCCTGACAGAGGCGGAGAGTTCTAATGTGAAGCCCAAGTTCTCCAAGAGATTTGCCTACTTGGCAGAGGTCAACCCAGTGAAACACGTGAAGAGAGAGTCCACTCATGCCACCACTTCTGCCACCAGCACCCTACAAACTGGTAACTTCTTTTTTTTATATGGAACAGAAAGCATCAAATTTGTCTCTATTTTTCATGCTTGCTCTCAGATTTTTAACTGCAGTGTGACGTCAGCAGAATTTTTTGACTTTATGGGAACTTCGTAATTCTAAGAGTAGTGAACATTCTGAAGATTCTGATATAGATCTTGGTGATTTTTTTTGTTTTCTTTTTCAGGAAAAGTCTTAAAATGCTATAATAACTACAGATGTCTAATAACTACAAGCGGCTGGTCACTAATTTGCTTAGGGGAAGAGCTATAGACTTAGGAAAAGTCACTTTTTTGATTTTTTTGCCTATTTTTTCGGAAATTATCGATTTCCTCAAAAACTACCCATCCAGATTTGGAATTAAGGGTTTAATCGATAGACCAGGTTGTAGGAAACTCCCATGCACAAGCGGCTGGTCCCTAATTTGCTTAGGAGAAGAGCTATAGACTTAGGAAAAGTCACTTTTTTGATTTTTTTGCCTATTTTTTCGGAAATTATCGATTTCCTCAAAAACTACCCATCCAGATTTGGAATTAAGGGTTTAATCGATAGACGAGCTTGTAGGAAACTCCCCCGCACAAATGGCTGGTCCCTAATTTGCTTAGGGGAAGAGCTATAGACTTAGGAAAAGTCACTTTTTTGATTTTTTTGCCTATTTTTTCGGAAATTATCGATTTCCTCAAAAACTACCCATCCAGATTTGGAATTAAGGGTTTAATCGATAGACCAGGTTGTAGGAAACTCCCCTGCCCAAGCGGCTGGTCCTTAATTTCTCTCGGGGAAGAGCTGTACACTTAGAAAAAGTTTTTTTAAAAGTTTTTTGGCATTGGAACAAAGATTCAATATACTTATTGTGTGTATTTTTTAGACAATGGAATCCGCTATGCTTACGTTTTCTCGCTTTTGCTTGGTGCTATTGGCTTTGTGTTGAGTTTTTTTGTATGGTTCGAAGAAGTCCAACGAGAAGTTGCACGAGTTACGCTAGTTCTCTTTAATCAGGTCGGTTTGTTCCAGAACGTTTTTGTGATGTCAGTTATAGTCAACATATTATAGTCATATTTGCAATGCTTGGACAAAAGCGTTACCAATGAATGCATAAGCTTCTCTTTCAATTTTTTGCGTAGAAAGGGCGCTATCGACTTGAGAAACCTGAAATTTTAAAACAATTTTAAAATAATCAATATTAAAATAATCAAACAGGTCTCTCCAGCTTTCAGCTGGGCCCCTAGTCTTAAAATGCTCTAATAACTACAGATGTGCATTCATACATGTTGATGCATTTATGAATTCACTTAGGTATATATGCACTTATTGAAATCAATTGAAATTCATCTGCTGAAAGTTATGTAAATTCCTGTTTGATTTATTAAACAGGTATTATGAAAACGTTTTTTTTTTCAGATGAGATCTGTTTTTTTTTTTTTTTTTTTTTTTTTAGACGCTTTTTCGAAAAATTCGCTTTCCCAAAAAACTACCCGTCAGATTCTCATAAAAGTGGTACCAATGGATTCAGTAGCGTTTCACCTGCCTGCCTGCATGAAATTTAGGGCAATTTTTACCCTACCCCACCCCCTACGGTCTTAGAAAAGCTTCACAACTCGGTACTTTTTTCACTTTTTGCCCATTTTTTCGGAAATTTTCGATTTCCTCAAAAACTACCCGTCCAGATTTGGGATTAAGGGTTTAATCGATAGACCAGGTTGTAGGAAACTCCCATGCACAAGCGGCTGGTCCCTTATTTGCTTAGGGGAAGAGCTATAGACTTAGGAAAAGTCACTTTTTTGATTTTTTTGCCTATTTTTTCGGAAATTATCGATTTCCTCAAAAACTACCCATCCAGATTTGGAATTAAGGGTTTAATCGATAGACCAGGTTGTAGGAAACTCCCCCGCACAAGCGGCTGGTCCTTAACTTGCCTAGGGGAAGAGCTATAGACTTAGGAAAAGTCACTTTTTTGGCCTTTTTTCAAATCTTTCCGATTTCCTCAAAAACTACCCGTCCAGATTTGGGATTAAGGGTTTAATCGATAGACTAGGTTGTAGGAACCCCCCATGCACAAGCGGCTGGTCCCTAATTTGCTCAGGAGAAGAGCTATAGACTTAGGAAAAGTCACTTTTTTGATTTTTTTGCCTATTTTTTCGGAAATTATCGATTTCCTCAAAAACTACCCATCCAGATTTGGAATTAAGGGTTTAATCGATAGACCAGGTTGTAGGAAACTCCCCCGCATAAGCGGCTGGTGCTTAACTTGCCTAGGGGAAGAGCTATAGACTTAGGAAAAGTCACTTTTTTGACTTTTTTGGCCTTTTTTCAAATCTTTCCGATTTCCTCAAAAACTACCCGTCCAGATTTGGGATTAAGGGTTTAATCGATAGACCAGGTTGTAGGAACCCCCTACACAAACGGCTCGTCCCTAATTTGTCTAGGGGAAGAGCTATACACTTAAAAATAGTCAATTTTTCGGTTTTTAGGCCATTTTTTCAAACTTTTTCGATTTCTTCAAAAACTACCCATCCAGATTTGGGATTAAGGGTTTAATCGATAGACCAGGTTGTAGGAAACTCCCATGCACAAGCGGCTGGTCCCTTATTTGCTTAGGGGAAGAGCTATAGACTTAGGAAAAGTCACTTTTTTGATTTTTTTGCCTTTTTTTTCGGAAATTATCGATTTCCTCAAAAACTACCCATCCAGATTTGGAATTAAGGGTTTAATCGATAGACGAGCTTGTAGGAAACTCCCCCGCACAAATGGCTGGTCCCTAATTTGCTTAGGGGAAGAGCTATAGACTTAGGAAAAGTCACTTTTTTGATTTTTTTGCCTATTTTTTCGGAAATTATCGATTTCCTCAAAAACTACCCATCCAGATTTGGAATTAAGGGTTTAATCGATAGACCAGGTTGTAGGAAACTCCCCTGCCCAAGCGGCTGGTCCTTAATTTCTCTCGGGGAAGAGCTGTACACTTAGGAAAAGTTTTTTTAAAAGTTTTTTGGCATTGGAACAAAGATTCAATATACTTATTGTGTGTATTTTTTAGACAATGGAATCCGCTATGCTTACGTTTTCTCGCTTTTGCTTGGTGCTATTGGCTTTGTGTTGAGTTTTTTGTATGGTTCGAAGAAGTCCAACGAGAAGTTGCACGAGTTACGCTAGTTCTCTTTAATCAGGTCGGTTTGTTCCAGAACGTTTTTGTGATGTCAGTTATAGTCAACATATTATAGTCATATTTGCAATGCTTGGACAAAATTTAATTAGTCAATTGTCTAATGAAAACTGTTACAATTCATTTGCTGCCAATTCTTATTTATCTCGTGTTGTTCCACAATTGACAGACTATCAATGTCGCGGGTCTTCACTATCACTTTGGCCGTATTATACCTTCTTGGTTTGTATCAAAAAGTTTCATCCACAGCTTCAGAGAAATGTACGACTACTCCTATAGACTTTTTAACATTTCTGTTGCTCAAAGAAAGTGGCCTTTTCTTACATGAATCTACCCTGCATGTACTGCCAAACAATGTACGTTTCACTTCAGATCACCCTCAGTTCTCGACTCATTGCATGCAACTGAAAAAAAGAGCTTCTGTTGTTATTCTTCATGGTCGTCGATTATACGATTTGAAAATCATGAGCGATGATGCAGATGACAACACCGATGATGATGTGCTATCTATCACAGAAAAACGTTCAATTGTAGCGCAGTTTTGTCTTGGCACATGTAAACCTTGGCGTAACATTGATGACCTGTCTGCATCTTCAACTACATGGTATAACGCGTATTTGGCATACATGTCTTCTACAAATCACACTCTTCCTTTGGCTAATCGAATTCTTACCCACAGTCAAGAATATTATATTGGCAAAGAAGAAGGTAAACATGAACAGGCCGAAAACCGAGGCCTAATTCAAGAGGACAGCAATCCTAATGTAGATGAAGAAAACAACAATATTAAAATAATCAAACAGGTCTCTCCAGCTTTCAGCTGGGCCCCTAGTGGTACTCTCCAAATACGAACGTGGAAATGGCGCAAAAAAACGTGATCGACTTCTAGTTTCGGAAGTGAAGTTTAATTTTTAGATTTTCAGCGGAATAAAAAATTTACGTGTTGATCCAGTTTTCTCAAGTTGGGTTAATGTTATCCCAAAAAATGCCAATCATAAATCGTTCTAGAAATCAAAGATCTTAAAGGGCATCTATTTTTTCTTTGAAATCGAAACTTTCAATTAAGTCAGTGTTTTTTTTATGTTTACTTGCGTTCATTACTCTTTTCCTGCATACTTGCGTTCATTACTCTTTTCCAACTGTCTGTTGGCTATGTTATAGTTTTTTGACGTTATTTTGATAAGTCACGTTGAGTTCAGACTGGGAATGGCGCTATGTTGAAAACTTGTCTATGCTATATAGTTACCTTAACTTCAACTGTGAAAGCGAACAGGGAGATTCGTAGAAAATTTAGAGGGAGCTGAATTGTCCACAATCTTCAAAATTTCGAACCCCCCCCCCACCACCCCCTTTGGAATACTTAATTCATTTTCGGCCGATCTTTCTAAAATTTTTCGAAACTTTCAAAAAGTGCCCAAATTTCATTTTTTGATTTTTTTGAAATTTGCTTGTTTTGAAATTTGTAAATTTGCATTTTTTTTAAAATTAGTTCACGTTTTTTGAAAATTGTTCGTCGTCCCGCCCACATCCTGTATAAAATTCCTAGATCCGCCTGTGTTACAGATGTCTTTCTCAATTGCCTGATGTTATCTAGGGGATTAATGACAGGTCGCACGGTTAATTTCATTGGAGATGTTATGAACATATTCCTAGTTCTATCCAACCGTCTTGTCACGTACTATACCTTTCTGCCTCATTAAATGTAGCTGCAGCCATTGAAATGTCAACTGAGCAAAAATTCCCGCTCTAATCGAGTTGAACGGGTCACAAATAAGGTGATTAGTTGAGCTAACATTGATTTTCACTTTTCAGAGGGAGAACTTGCCCCCGAGCGCATTGATTTGAGCCGGCTAGCTGGACTTGATTTGGCATCTCTCAAAGCCTCCTCTTCAAACCAGAACAACAGAAATGTCAGTTTCAACTCGAGAGGATCAAAAAACAGGGAAGTGGATCGGGATAACAAAGCACTTTTGGCGTACTTGAAGAGGCAGAATTTGGGCACTAGCCGGGGGTTTGAAAGTGCCAATCAGTGGGATCCTTTGTCACTTACGGCTCTTGAGGAATACACTCCTATTGGGAGGGGAGGGGGAGCGAATCAAGGACCAGGCAGCAAAATCAATTACTTGGACTCATTTCGCATTCAGGCGTCTCAAATTGGAGCCCCTCGTAGCTAGGGAACAAATTTTAATCTCGCAACCTTTCGCGTCAAGTAGTATTTGACTGGAATTAATCTCTGCTAACCATTATTTGCTAATCGCTGTTTCAATTGATTAAAAGAGCGATAATTGATTACAAATTATGATTATGAGTGTAAAGATTAATTAAATTTACTTATTATTGCTCAACTGAAATATATATCGAATGATGTTAGTTCTGAAGTTAAAGGGAATTAGATACGTTTTATTGGTTGTTTATACTTTGTCATTGAGAGTTTAGACGTTTGCTGACCATCTGAAGTGGATAGAAGTTGGATTTGGTTATATTAAAGTATTCATACCAGTGTCCAGCGAATTGTTTAATGAAGTAGGTGCCAATTTCTGGTTTCTTTTCTCTTTTCCAACACGTGGATTAAAGTGTTGATGTTTAGCGTTTATTGCCCATTTTACTATCAGGCGATAATCAACGGGCTGACTTTGTCTGGTAAAGGTGTTTGGAATTAGTTTCGGATGGTCTTGATTAGATTGAGTTTAACGACGTCAACTGTTTTTAGTTGCTCTTTCTCGGCACACCTGGTTAGAGCAACCTGATTGGTCAATTTTCTTAAGCTAGAAGACTGAAACTAATTTTAAACATGTGCAGTCAATGTTTTTGACAATCACCTTTAAGCCGCCTCCACTCAATTGTCGAGAATAAACTTTCTCTTTTTCAAACCAAAAATCCTCTTTCAAATACTCAATTTTATTATTATTCCTTAACACCAATCAATTTGCTAATTCTCCAATTACTTGTCTTGCAATGATCCCGAAAATGCTTCATTTAGCAATTGTTGCAACTTTTTTGTGTGTATTGAGCGTGCAATCAACCACGCCTTGTTACAACGAGAAGAATGAGCCCATTTTTTGCAATCCAGAATTCGCGAACATCGTTCAGAACTACCGATCGAGTTTATTCGCAAACAGTACATGTGGATCAGCTCTGAAAGAAGAAAAAGTATGTCCAGTATTTTTCTCTGTGAATACAGTCGGAGCTCTGGACTCTCCAACGCCTCCATACAACAAAGCAGAGTGTGAGCTCTGTGATTCCCGAAGTGTAGTCGACGACCGCCAGCATCCCGTGGAACATATAACCAAGTCCACTTACTTCGGATCCGGAAACCAACTTTGCTGGATGTCACAACCAGGAGAGTCAAAGCCTGTTATGGTTGAAATTGATTTTGGAAAACTGATGGATGCTTTGTACATAGTGCTTCGTTTCTGCAACGAACCAGCGACTGATATTACAATTCTGAAGACGAGTGACTTCGGAGCTACGTGGTACCCGATACACTTCATAAACGAAAACTGCCTGTCTGCGAAAGGTATAGACCCGGATGCGGATGTGATCCGAAATGAACCTTCATGCGGACCTCTGCAAAAGCAACAGAGTCAACTGTTGGGACTCTACAGCGCGGCGCACAATCAGAGGAATTATGACGATTCTGAGTTGCAAAGTCGTAAACTGGCGACAGGGTTCCGAGTTCTGTTCAATGGGTACGCACCTGAAACTTCAGTCGATCAAGCGTACCAGTTTTACTCCCTCGCCAGTATGGAAGTGGGCGGACAATGTCAATGCAACGGGCACGCGAATCTTTGCGACAGCGATGGAACTAAAACAAGATGTGAGTGTCAGCATAATACATACGGAAACGATTGTGAATCATGTCACCCGTTTTACCAGGACCTCCCATGGCGTGCAGCAATTCCTAACGAGGGCTTCGAGTGCAAGAAGTGCTCGTGCAGTGGCCACTCGGACGAATGCTATTTTGACCAAGATGTTTTCGACCGCAGTGGAGGCGTGAGCGGGGGAGTCTGTTTGAATTGCAAGCACAACACCAAGGGAAGGTTCTGTCACCAGTGCGCTGAAGGGTTCTATAGGACTCCGAATACCCCAATTGACAGTCCAGATGCATGCTCACCCTGTGATTGTCACCCCGCTGGAAGTTCTTACATCGACAGATGCGATCCGATTACAGGAAATTGTATGTGTAAACAAAACGTGAGAGGACGAAACTGCGCGACGTGCGAAGATGGGTACAGGATCTCGGACGATAACGACATGCCTTGTGTGAAAAATACTTACCGGCCGAAACCGGAACAGGAGATCCACCCACCCTTCAGTCCCCCGATCTGGAAACCAGCGGAACCCGCAGAAGCTGGGATGCTTGCAGACAGTCCTCAAGAGTGTTTGTCCGAGAAGAATAAAGTGCTGAAGTATGACGCGTTTTGCAAGTATGATGTCGTAATCAAAGTGTCGGTCGGGGATATTGCAGAGAAAACAAGCAACGGAGGGAGCTACATGTTTGAGTTGAATGTCCTGGATCACATGTACAGTACCTTCGGAGGCCAAAGGTTACCGCCTACGATTCTAGTGAGTGTTCCTACTGAGCTCGTTTCGTCATGTATCTCCTTCCACGACAAGAATCACAATTATTACGTGTTCGCGGGTGATTGGCTGAAACTTATGAGCAAGGAGTCCATGGTGTATCCACTTACTGGCAGTGATATCGTGTTGAAAGCGAAGGGCAGTCTGGACAATAAAGTGAAAAGATTCAGAACTAGGAAGTTGAAGGGGAAGAAATGCAAGTAATCTGAAGTCGAACTTCCTCGCCACTATTTGAAGAATTCAATCAATTTCAATGGAATCACAATTTTGTATTTTGTCTAAAATTAGTCCCAAAGAGTAGAGAAAAGTAGAAGTACTAAATATGAGAGAAAATAATGACTGAAAGCAGTTGTACTGATGGTCGCAATAACTAAAAAAAGACTTTCAAAGTGACTGCCTCAATTTAAGATTTTGAACTAGATTGAAAATTGGTTTCTAGTTTTGTTTGCTGTTTTATACATTTCGATAAAAACGAAGAATGCTGTTTTTAAGTTATTCTATTTTTGAAAAATTTGACTACAATGCTGGAAGTTAGTGTTTAACTAGTTGCAAGTGCTGATTACTGGAGTTATTTAAGTTCTTTTTCAATAATAAAGAGCAGATTACGAAAAATATGGTTTTTTGAAAATTCGAAATGCTGAATTCTTGCATATACAAAACAGTACTTCAGAATATTCCGATACAAAACCTTCCAACGCGTCAAAAAATGGCCGGTCGCTGTGCAAGTAGCAAAGATTGTTACGATCTCAACGATTGAAATAAAGAAATTCAAAATCTGAGAAAAATTGACGAAATTTTTGACTTTTCCTTTTTTCGCCAAATTGTTTTTTTTACAGCAGAGAGTAATTAAAAACGGCTAACTTAGTACAAAAATAGAGGTCGTAATAGCTAAACTAAAGTTGAATTTGCATAAAATTTGAATAGATAGTTCAGTTTCAATTGTATTTTTGTGTAATTCAACCTGAAAGCGGAAAAATCTAGACCAGTTTTTCTCGACTCTGAATTTTGTTCGAATCTGAATCACGAGCGAAATGGCTTTTATATGAAACCACAACAAACTACCTGTCAGTTTTGTTTGAGATGGTCGAAATTATGCGAAAAATGAACACAGGCTAATCCATAGTTCCTATGATGATGTTTAGTGGTCAGTCAGACCAAAAAGAAAATTTCTTTATTCAACTGCTTACAAAAATAATAAAAAAAAATTTTTGTCGTTTTTTTTCTGTATGGTGGATAAACAGATCTGAACGAAAAAAGTGAATTTAGGCATATATGACAGTCATAGTAAAAAAACCAATCGGAATACAGTTTTTGAAGAAAATTGACTAAAAACAATTAAAGTTTTGAAATTTTTTTCAAAATTTGTTGGTTGCAGAAATTTTTAAAATTTTTAATCTTTGGCGCTAAAAATGGCGCTTAAAAACTCCAAAAATTGTTTGTTTTAGTACCTCTAAGTTTTTATGGCCTAATGTAAGCTTAAATAAGCTATTGTAAGCCTACACGCTCACATCATATTGTTACACGCTCACATCATATTAGTGCGAAATTAGACCAAAAAATGTTAAAATTTCAAACCGGAGTTTTTGGAGTTTTTTAATGTCGTTGGAATCACGATTGAAAGGGCTTTATTATAAAATATCATTCGACCCATTCTGATAAATTTTTGTGGCACTTAATTTTGAGTGGAGAACAAAAAGAAAAAAAACTAGAAGTTCTTGCCCATTTTTCAAATGGTCGGAACAATAAATACAAAAATTGAAAGCTGATGAAAAGGACAGACGAAAGGGCACACAGAGTGCTCACTGTACGTACTCATTTAGTACTACATTTAGTAGTGCAAATAGTGCATTGCATAAACTTATGAATAAATTATGAATTTGATCCAAATCAAGTGCCTCAAACTTTTTTAACATGATATTGTTTTTTTAACGGAAATGAAATAATCAATTGGTCCCTGATATTCGTCTTTAGAACTGGTGTTCTTTAGTTACTAGGCTGTTGGCATAATTTGTATAACATACCGCAGAAGATCTTTATCATATCCTTAATTGCGCAATTGAAACTCATTTTGGCAACAAAGATTGAAATTTTGGCAAATCTGAAAACAAGTAATCAACGATACAAAACGGGCACCTCCTGTAAGGGTCGGAGAAGGCTTTTTTTCTGAAAAATTAGAAAAAAAACGGTTTTTTCTGCTGTTATCCCAAAACTTTTTAAAAAAATTTCCATTCATAAGTTTTTATGCATGTAACGCTTATGACGGAAATTGAGTTGAATAATTAGGTAATTATAATGTATTGAAATTTAAAGTTGAAGTAAAATGAGATAGGTGGAGAACTGTTTTTTGAAATTTAATCAATGAACTTTTACTCATCGTAGTAATTTAGTCTTAAAACCAACAAAAAGCAGATATTTCAATCTCAACATTCGAGAACATTTTATTTTCGTTGAAATTCGAAATATACGACTACTCGGGAAATCGGTTTGTTTTTAGAGAGTGAGTATCGAGAATCGCCTGTAAGCTTTATTTAAGCAGTTAACGGACTATTCATGCATCTAGGATTATGAACGGCCAATCCAGTGTTTTTTTTGTTAGCGCTTTTTGAATACGTAGTTTTACGATCCAACTTACTCTCATGGATGTCCAACTGTTTTTTTTTCCACTATTTCGGTAGGTTTTTTCTTCGTCCACCGTTTTTACACTCAAATTATAAGAATTTTAGCCATTTTTGAGAATGACTTTTAGTTTACTAAGGAATAATTTACGTATATTTACTGTATATTTTATTGACCGATTTGGTATGCAGTTTTGTGTATAAAAAGACAGAAACTAAAGATTGAATACCTTTCGTAAATTTGAGAAATTCTTGCACGTTTTAGCTAAGCACTCGGCCAAATTGAGCGATTAATATCTGACACTTCAGGTGCAAATAATATCAGCTAAAGGGCTCTTCACAAGTTATGATAATTGAACCTTTAATTACTAAATTGGCTTTTAACTCTTCAAGAAAATTCACGTGAGTAGAAAGTTATTTTCAGCGTCGCTTGTGGTTAATGACAGAACTTAGCATTCATTCAATGGTTGTGAAAGAAAAGTATTTTTGATATAAAAATGGCAACTTCGCTAGAATTTAAAACCAAAGAGACTAATATGCAAGTGGCTACATCAAAGTTGATTTTCGATTTTCGGGGTACTTTAAACAAATGATTTGATAGTCACGGTAAATTCTTTTGATGTTTGTTTTAACCTTGCTCCTTGACCGAGAAAACATTTAGCATCAAATGCAGTGAATAATTTGCAAAAAATTGTTAATTCAAACGAAACTTCGGCTTTTTTCAAATTTTTTATTGTTTTACAAACATTGGCATGCTGAATAATTTGGCCATGACAAACATTTTAGGTGTTCTTACATAACATTGTAAAACCCCTTGTTACACCATAGATGTGATGCTTCTGTGAGGTGGGGTGGGGGGTAATTCTTATTAACGTACAATGAGACATGAGGGAGGGAAATGGTACTAGTTTATTTGTTGGGGCCTTCAACAGAAGTAGTTTACATGTAGGGTAGGGTTCTGAGAACAGGGTTCGGCTGTAAGTTAGGGCTCTAAGGATAGGCAAGGGGGGGGGGAAGAGGAGGAGGAGAAAGAGCCTACCGTTCTGGTGGCTAGGAGATGTGACGGCTCTTTTTCGCCCTCCTGCTAAATTTTACTAGTGAAATGTTGTTCACATCATCCGAATTTTACAAAAATTGCCATGCGAACTAATAAGGCCATGACAAACATATTTGGTCTTCATGTTTAACATTGTAAACCCCCTCGTTACACCATAAAAAAGATGCGAGGTAGGGGGGGGGGGGTGGGGGTGTCGGACATCAAGCCGATGTGACCCTTCAGGAAACATGAAGATAGAGGGCTCTTGGCTCTTTTTCCTCCCCCCCCCCTGTTCACATTGTCCGATGGTACTAAATATTTCACACGTGCAAAATGCAACTAATAATATCTGTTCTCCGTTCTCCAGTGAAAGGATACGAGGCAAAGCATGCAGACACTTTCGAGTAGTGCATACTATGCGCACAACTAGTGCGTATTTTTCAGAAATAAGTTCGTCCTCTTTTAAAGCCAGTGGTTGAAAAATGAAATGATGTTGTGTATAAGATCTACCAAATATTGCTCAGACAAAAGTCTTGCTTTTTGCACATACCACGTATAGTCAAGTTTCAACTAACTTCTGGTTGAGCGGTGCAATTCAATACACGCATTAATGTTTTTTCAACTCGAGCATGCTTTTTTAGTTAACTAGTGCAATCTTGCGGAAACGCGCGCTCGTTTTGTTGCCTGCGCTCGAAACTATGTACTAGAAGCTCGATGTAGCTTTAATCAAAATACTAGCTCACTAAACTGCTCGTATCAGGGTGAAGCGCTGACTGTTCCGACAGCCTTTTTATGACTATAAAAATGTTTTTGTTTATTAAAAAAGGGAATGTTCAAAAATAGAATAAAAACTCACCCGCTTCCCCCGAACGCTATGTGAACTAGAACGTAATGCATTTAGAATCTAAAATGTCAAATAGCTTGCCCCAGTTCTATTTGGAATTGTTTTTGAGCAGGGGTTTATCGCCGCTTTTTTGTTCATGGTACGAAACATGTGGTGCGTTAACTATGTTTTTTTTCGCAATTTTCAAGCCCTATAGTTAAACGAAAAACTGACACAAGTGAAGTCTTAACCCTTGCATAGAACATGTGGCGCGTTAACTATGCCATTTTCGCAATTTTCAAACCCCATAATTTAACAAAAAGTTGACACAGGTGAAGTCTTAACCCTTGCACGAAACATGTGGCGCGTTAACTATGCCCTTTTCGCAATTTTCAAACCCCATAATTTAACAAAAAGTTGACACAGGTGAAGTCTTAACCCTTGCACGAAACATGTGGCGCGTTAACTATGCCCTTTTCCCAATTTTCAAACCCTATAATTTAACAAAATATTGACAGGTGAAGTCTTTTCCCTTTCACGAAACATGTGACGCGTTAACTATGCCTTTTTCGCAATTTTGAAGCCCTATAGTTTTACAAAAAATTGACTTAGTTGAAGTCTGTACCCCTTTTTGAAAACAGCAAAACTAAAATCGCAAGCGTTATTTAACTGGAATATAAATTTTTTTTCGTTAACTTGCTGTGTAGAATCACTTTATTTTGGACCATTTTGAATTCAAACTTTTAAGCGTTCACGGCCCATTTAGCCTGGAGGTAACGAATACGCCGGGGACGGAAAAGGTCCTGGATTCGAATTTGGCCAGGGCTTTTTTTTCAAACCAAATATTCTGTTTCAATTAAAATTGCCGGCCAATTATAATTATTTTATTTGTCTGCTGATCTTTTGTCGGCTTAGGTGCCAAATCTTTGAATAATTTTTTTTTGCTTTTAGCCGCGCTCAATTTTCTCATTGTTGCTTTTAGTGTTTGATTTACTCTTGCATTTTATCATGATACTTGCCTTGACCATGTTTTTTCTGTTATGTTTTTTTTTTCGTTAAAATTTTCTTCGTCTCAAGTTATTTCATCCCTTTTTTACCGGCTTAATGACTTAATTTCCGGTTAAGAGAAAAACATTTTGGCTCCAAGTGAAACACAATTTTTACACTCCCCTTCGCACTTTTTAAGTTGGTTGCATTCTTACCACTCGGTTTGTTGAAATTTAATTTTCATGTTTTTTGATATTAATAGGTTTTAGCTTGTTTTCATAACGGCTGAGTATCCTGTTTTGTGTCGTTTGATGCTCGGAAAAATTTAAACGCGCCTGCAAGTGTTATGAGGGGAAGGCGGACGTAGAAATTTAAAGTTTCAAATTTAAAAAAAAAATCGGTTAGAAGAGTTTCTCCTTAGGTAAATTCGGCTTTGTTACCGCTTGGTTAATTTTGTTTCCATGCTGAGTTTGCATTCTATTCCTTGGGCATGTTATTTTCACAACTATCTTCCTTCATTTTGATAGATCATCATTGCTGATTTAAATTAACGACTCAACGAAAAACATTGGAAACTTCAAACGCGTTAATTGGGTTAGGATTAAAAAGAAAATGAAGAAAACAAAAGTTGCTTTGAACTTCACCAGAGTTATAACGGTGCAATTTATTTTACGGACCCAAAATTTTACGCCAACAAATGTTAATTTTGGTATTTTTGAAATTATCAACAATTACGCTATAACTACCAATTTAATTGCTGACAAGATTTATGTAGAAAGAAGCCTCTCACACATCTCAACAATGTTTAAAAAGGTGAAGTCTCTAAAATTTTAGGCAAAATAAATTGCACCGGAATAATTCTGGTGAAATTCTTTGCCAGTTTGTGCTCTTCTCTTTGTCGTATCAAAACTCAATTTGAGAGAAACTCGATCGAAGTTTCCAACGTTCGTTTTGTCCAGTTAATTAATAGCAGCACTGTAGTTGTTTCGCAAATGGTGTAAAGCTCAGTGGGCTACTAAACTTTGTGCCCGAACCGCTTCTTTAGAACTCTAATGTTTTATTAGATAATATGTTAATTTGAAGTCTACTCAGCTAGGCTACAAATGCTGCAGAATTTTGAGTTCACAGTCTGAATGCCATAGTGAGCTGTTTTAATTTAGTTTTGAAGTTTTTTTTTTCATTTTTTTTAGGGTGATGAACGTAGTCCAGACTCTTATATAAGATATAAGTGTTGATGAGTTTTTCCATTTTTTTTTCAGGAAAAGTCTTTTTTTTTCAGGTGCAAATCAAAACTTTCATAAGAGCTTGAAGGGCATCCATTTTTTCTTCCAAATTCATGTTTTTTTTTCTGTTTACTTCCGTTCATTGACTATTTTCCAACTGTCTGTTGGCTATGTGTTTGCAATGTGAAGCTCCACGCAGAAGTTGGTACCAATTGTATTAGGAGCCACCGAAGCCCAACTAAAGGACCCTCAGCGTACTCTTTGGCTAGCTTAGGAGATAATAGGTTCTATCAGTTAGATCTTATAATTCAGCAAGACCGAAATAGTTTTTTAAGAGTCATGAACATTGCGAATACTCTTATATAGGTCTTGGTGAGTTTTTTGTTTGTTTGTTTTTCAAAAAAGTCTTAAAATTTATTCGCGTTCAATTTTGTTTTCTTTACAAATTCAAAGGGAGACGAATACCTTTATCGAACAGCGAAAGTGTAAAGGTCACAAAAAACATGATCGGAAATTGAATTTTATTGTCAAATTTCCCAGCGAAACAAAAGTTTTAGCCATTGATCCAGTTTTGTCAAATTTAATCAGAAAGGTTTCAATCATAACTTGTTTTAGAATTTAGAAGAGCTTTAAGGCCGTTTTTTTCTGTTTACTTGCGTTCATTGACTCTTTTTCAGCTACAGCTTCTAATCTGTTCATAATCGATCTCTTTTCAGAATATTATGTTCAAGATGGAGTTTTTGTGTTTGTGAATCACTAGCTAATAGCATGAATGTGTGCAATTTACTCGAGAAGAGGAGGCGCTCGGGGTCCTGTATGAAAAAGAAATTTCTGTCTCAGAAGTCAGTCAGCCTTTGGCACCACTTTTCTCTCAGAGATTGCCGATTGGCTGAATTTTGCACCAATCACATCTTTCTTGGTACCGTTTTATGACACAATTCTGAAGAAAATTAACTAAATAATTTGGGTCTTTTTACTTATTCCGCCCCAAATAACTTAACTTCGCATCAGTAATGGTTTCACGCCTCGTTCAAACTAAATTTCAAACTAAATTTTGTTTAAAAATCGTCAAACTAAACTTTTAACCTGTAGGGCGACAATTCGTAACAAGCGACAATTCCTAACAGGCGACAATTCGTAACAAGGCATTGGCAAGTAGAATACGCTTGCTCCGCTGCGCTTTCATCCGGAACGAGAGGAATACTGCGCGTGAATCAGTGGTGCCAGCTTAATCTACTGTTACGAATTGTCGCCTCACTTTTTAACCAATCAATTTCTGCTCTCATAATTTGAAATTTAAGATTTTGAGCTGAATAAGTGAAAAGTACCAATACTTCTAATTTAGGCCATGATCTTGAGTAGAGCCACGGATCTCTATAAGGAGGAAAAAATCGTATTTTAGTCCTTTCTCTTGAGGGATAATGGTCTGAAATTTAATCAATGTCGGTGAACTTGGTCGCTTAAAAATGATTAAGAATTATCTGCAAGTTATGACAAATGAGGCGAGAAAATTAGCAATGTTATGTAAATATCTCGACTAATTTAGTTAATAGTTAAGTAAAACCAGGTTGAGTGATTCAGTTTTCCCATTACTCTGTAAATAAAATACACCTGAGCTAATTGGTGTGAATGCTAGGAAAAAATTCTAATGGTATGCTTTGAGGAATATGATCTGAAGCTATCAATATCACCCAATGTTTTCGTACATGTTTTCTAATGGTACAATAATTTCTTTGCGTATTTAAACGAAAAAGTTGTTTTAAAGGCCCGTTATTTTTCTTTTCGCATTTTGCTTAAGTGGTGTTTGCCTCCATGGTCAATCAGATGGACTAAACGGCTGTCGATTATCTCAAAATGAGTATCAAAAAAGATCTCGAATTTTTCCTAGTGTTAATGTGAAATTTATATGCGACGGGCAGTTTTAACAACTTATGTCTCATTTTAACTGATTTCAATGATAAAATTGATAACGTTTCGAAACCCGGTCTAAATTGTTCAAGAAAAGTCCCAAGAAACAAAAATACCAATGGAGTCATAAAACCGTACTGACAACAACAGGTTTCACTGCTAACGGAAACTTTTTGGTCTCCTACACTGTGGACGCAGTACAAAATGAAATTGTGGACTCCTACACCTATAAAATCCATTGGTGGTCAATTTGCCGAAGTCCCAAAAGCAGACGACTATCGCTGAAGACAATCAAGTCCAGCCCGCTTTTCGAAGGCCGGCACCTTTCGCTGAAAGTGATTATTTGGATCTATCATTGGCCTAATGATGAATCGAAACTAATTGTACACGGAATTGACAAAATGTGCAGCTTCAATCTTCAATTTGCCATGACTTCTTCCTCGGGTGTATCCGATTTCGAATATCAATCGATGATTAATGTGTTCCCGAATCCGCAAACTGCGAGTTCTAGTTACATCAAAAATAATAATCAGGATGGCAAAGCTTGTAATAGTCACGATTGGTCCGTGTATTTAGACATTCCAACTCAAAGCTCCTTTAAGCTTCCCAACTTTTACCGAGATTTGACGATCATCAACAACGCTTTAATTTACACAAATGGATTTACAGTGAAGTTTGTTGAGTTCATTTTTGATGGCAAATCATCTCAAAATAAAAATTCCTCAGCTAATGTCAAAAGCTCTTCAGAAAAACTGTCTCTTGAAAGCGAGAAAACAATGAATTTTGATTGTGTTGAGATTAATTCAGCCCAGTTTCTCTCTCAAAATGGTGTAGCGTGTAATTGTAGTTTTGCACAAGGAGATAAATTGGAGAGTACACTTTTGTCGGAACATGTGAGTTATTCGGATGACCGAATTGGAAGTTGTGAGAACAATCCGGTAAGTTTGATGAACTCGGAGACGTCTGAAAAGAGACATTATTAGTCTGCTGTCGATCTCCCGGGGTGGGTTCATTTAGGATGATTTTTGGTTTCAATCAATTGATAAATGATACACTGGAAACAATTTATTATACAAGCGAAGCGTAGTGTATTATTACGAGGAATTTTTTTGTAACTTTAGTCGCAAATAAAAGTGCTCATTTCAATTTAATCATTTTCAAACATAAACCATTTATTGGTATATGTTGCTGCTTTATTTTTGGCTAGTGTTAGGTCCTGTTTGAAATAAACATGGATTATGTAATGTATGGGATTTGTTGTTTTTTTGCGACGCTTTTGATTTTTTTTCACAGAAATGTCACAGAAGCTGATATGGACTTCGAACCAAATTCGTTTTTGATTTTTTAACGTTTTTGTTTTTTAATTTCGTCACTATTCTCGAAAACTCTTAACTAAATCTGATATTAAGAGTTCAATCTAAAAAATCAGGGTGCAGAAATATTCAATCTAAAAAACCAGGGAATAGAGCAGAGGCTATTCACATGATTTAATAGAGAACGTTTATAGATGCAGGAAAAGTCAAGTTTTTGAATTTTCGATCGATTTTGGAATCTTTTTCACTTTTTTCAAAAATTAACTTGTCAAATCTGAGATAAAGACTTCAATTGAAAGAGCAAGAAGAAGTTTTTTCCTTTAATTAAGCGGTTATTACCCTACTTAAGCAGGGAAACTCCAGGGCTTAGCGTAAAGTCCCTTTTCTGAAATTTTGAAGTTTACGTATCTCGGTGTCACTACAATATATGATTACGCTTGCGATAAGCTAGCGTTATCAAACTGGAATATAGACTTTTTTGGGTAAACAGCTAGTTTAACAGAATCACTTAAGTGTCTCCGGCACACTTAGTTTTCTGGAGGTAACGAGTAAGCCTGGACGCCCCCGGGTATCGAAACTGTTTTTTTTTTCAAACTGGAAAAAGTGCGTTTCAAAAACAATTGGCTGCTGATGATTGTCTGTTGATGTTTTGTCGGCTTAGTTGCCTTTTTTATAAATTTTTTTGAGTTCTTTTTTCTAATCATAGTTGATTTTAGTTTTCCGATTTCTCTCTGTTTGTGCTGTTTGTATTTTAACTAAACCTGACCTGGTATATATATATATATATATATATATATATATATATATATATATATATATATATAATATATTTTCTTTTAAAAACTGTTTTCTACCGATATGATTCCGGCTTATTTTTATCGGATTGGTGACGTAATTTTGAAACATTTCATTGGAAACTCATTTTTATGCTCACTTCTGGATTGCACAAAATGCTAAAATTCCTAATAGAATTGTAGTTCAATTTTGCCATGCTAACAAATTTTTTATTGTTTTAAAAAAATTTTTCGGATTGATTGGTTTCGGCCTATATTATATTGGCTTCTTGGCCTCATATTGCATCTTTCAATGAGCCAAAAAAGTTCTGTGTGTGCGTGACTGTGTTTTGTGGTTGAGGGGGCTTTATATCTCTTTATTCTTAAATTTTTATTATTTTTTTTCGGCTGTTTTTATCATTTTTTTTGTGCTTAACAGATTTCGGCCTATTTTGTATTGGCATAGTAGGCTCATAATGTTGTTTGACGAGCAAATAAAGTGTTTTGAGGGTGAGGTGGACTTATTAATTTTTCAGAAGTTTGAAGTCTTGTTGATTTTTTTCGACTTCTGTCAAGGTTTCTTGTGACGAGGTATTTTCGGCTTCGTAACCGCTGGGTACATTATCTTCTTATACTTATTACAATTTTTTTCGTCTTGACTTGTTTTTGTTTCAAAACTAGCTTTATTCATTCAACTGATCTTGTTTTTTTTTTATCTTTTCGACTTTTTAAAACTTTTTTCTTGTTTTGAATCGCAAGTGGTGCGAAGCTCAGCTTCGCCTCTGTGTTAAAAGTATTAGAACAGGTAATTACAGCGTTATCTGGGCGGTTAGTTTACTTCCAAGCAATCTTGGCGCAGATGCGAGTACCTGAGACTCCTAATCAACAGGTCGGATATTCAAATCCGGAACACTTAATTAGTTTAAGTTTTTGGTCAAATTCTTGCTGCAGATCACTGGTAATTTGAGAGAAAGTGTAGCTGCTTTATTGGTGGCTAGTGTTAGTAAAATCACAAGGGGTCGTGGAGCAGATGTGAGAACGTGATACTCCTAGCCTTAACAATTTTTTTTTCAAAGTGTGTTTTTAATCTTTTCCGTATTTCACTTTATTTTGCCTGTTTTTAGCTCTTTTTTTTTGCATTTTCCTCGCTTTTGTTTGCGAAGCACAGCTTCGAGTCTGTGTTATGATAGTTTTTATTTATTTTTATTTCAACAAACGTTCCAGCATATTTGCACTTTAAATACCGTTTTTTCTCAGGTTTTGTTCAATTAGCAGCTGGTTGTATTTATAGCAGCTTCTTTTCTGTATGTTTTTACTCCGATCATTGAAATTGAGGTGGAATTTGGTATTCGGTGTGTTTTTTTTTAGCTTTTCGTTTCCAACGCAACATCACGTACCACAACTGAGTCGCGTGATATATTCAAAGCTTAAAAAATTCAATAGGAGCAGACAAATTTTGAAACGTTTTCTTAGTTTGGAGAAAAACCCGTGTTTGATTCCTTTTTCAAGTCGAATTTCGAGCGAGGTCTCATAGAAGAAGGTTTTTCATTTAAGTAATTAGAAGCAAATTACTCAAGGTGTCTGAATATATTTTTTTAAGTTTATTTTGTGAAGATAACTGTTGTCGATTATGCCGTAAGCTATAACGTTCTCCGCGTGCGTACAGTTCTCTCATTACATCATGCACAAAACACGACACAAAATTGAAGAAAGTAATTGAAAAATAAGTTTTCTGATGAATACATTATGTCGAACAACCTTTGCCACCGGTTATCATTCTTTGTTGTTTGTTTTCGTTCATGCAGATTGTTTATTTTCGCTTATGCGATTTGGCTTAGTCGCTTCATATTGCGTCGTTTAGAGAGTAGAAATACTGTTGTTTCTCAAGCTTTGTGAAAAAGCTACGATTCATATCTGTCGAAATGCAGCTTTTTTTCATTATCTCTTAGAGTTTTATCGTTTCGTCATCGAAACCAGAACCGGGTGCTTTACCCGCGGTTTGATAACCTGAAGAGGCGTCTTTAAAACATCTAGACCGTTACTCGAATAATCAATGAGGTATATCTTGGAGCCAACAATAGTCAATGGTAAATTCGAAAACAATTGAGAAGCCTGTTTGTTTTGATTGTTTTTGAGGTACATGAAGTTTTCTTTGGAAACCATTAGAGGTCGTATCGCAAAGTATTAGTACAGCAGTTTTTGAGCACCAAAGCATTTGCGTAGCAAGTTAATTGGATTGTCTTGAGATTAAGTCCGCTGATCGTAAAAGTTGCTTTAAATTCCACCAGAAATTCAACAGTAAAATTGATTAAGTCAATATTGGGCTGCAATCCGATTTGAAAAAATGTTTTTTTTTTTTGATAATTTTGTTGATTTTGAATCTCAAATTTAGAGTAAATGGCATTTTTTGAGATAATGTTGTTAATTTTAAGTAGCTATCGAATGCAATGGTTAAAATTTGAGCGAGATCTTTTTCTATACTAGGTATATTTAGGTTTATAACTAGCAATTATTATCAAATCGGAACATCGACTTTTTTCAGGTTAACAACTTGTTGCATATAAAATCATCTAGCATTAGCAACAGATCTATTTTGGGCTTTTTGAAGTTACAATCTATTCGAAATTTGGCCTTTTTGTTGTTTGTTCCTTGTTTTTAAAATGTTATCGATTTCACTTTTTATTGCGTGGGTTCAAGGGCTTGTTTAAAAAAATGTTGTTACTGTTTTTGCGGAGGTTAATATTTTTGAGTAGCAAAACTTCATAGTTCAAATTGCTTTATGGTTATTTTGTTGAACTATCGTCTGCCGGATTTTTTTTCGGCTTAGGTGGAGCTCAATATTTTTTCCATTCACATTTTTCCACTTGAATTAAAGGCGGCAGCCTCATTGCAGATGGTCGTGGTTCAAAGCTCTGCTTCGCTTCGCTTCTTTTGGTTTATTGGTGTGTCTTTTTTCATGAAGCGTCTTGAAGTATTGCTGGGAAAATTGGTTGCTTAAGCCGCAAAAAATTTACGAATGTTCCAGAAAAAAATGTTATTATTACTCCAGGTAAACCAGTTTCCGAAGCCTCCTTAATCGTTTCCTTGTCCTTAAAATTAAAAAAAAAAATCGATTATTTCAGCAAAAGTTTTCGTTGTTTTCAGCCTTCGTCTCTCTTTTCAGCTTGTTTAAGTGGGGTAAGAATTTTCTGTGATTCATTTTGAAAAAAAAGACAAGCGCAGAACAACGTTTTTGGCTTTTTTCGGAAGATTTTGACCAAAAACTTGCGCGTGCTTCCCCTTCAAATATAGTATCCTTTAGTATTGTAAAAAAAATTCAGAGTGGTTAGTCATAACTGAATGTCTTGAAATAGTACCAAAGGGGGATCGAATCCTTGAAGGGTGCGGAGAGGCGTCCGCACCCCTTAAATCTGGTTTCTTACACAGCAACTACTTATTTTTGTTTTGCTCAGTGATTTATGGAAGGGGCCCAAGTATCAAACTTGAAGCTTTTTCTGGAGTCACGAGTTCCAAAATAATGACAGGCTTCATTATTGATGGTTGGGCTCTTTTTTCTTTTCCCCCCACCTCGCACGAGCTTCAACGAGGAAAAAGAGCCTTGCCATGGCCTTATTAGTACGTATGCCAATTTTCATAACAATCGAATAATGTGAACAAACTTTTCATTTATAATTAATTAATAATCGTAGTTCCTGCGAATCGCAGAGGAGCTATCAGTAGGCCTTAACAGTCCTGTCGAGGATAGTCCGTTTGTATTATTTCCCCACATTCTAGACTGTGTTTTTTTGTTGAGGGATGCTCTTTTTTTGCGACTCAAGGCCGTTTTTGTGCGTCTAGAACTTTCACGTGGTACCACTTTTGCAGCCTAATTTGGTCAGGTTGTGGTAGACCTGGAGCTAGAGGTCAAGTGAGAGCTCGTCCTCACACACTATCATTGCCATGGCATGGGATCGATTACACGATCTGACGATTCTAAAGTGAACGCCTTACCACTATGCTAAGTGCCCCTTATAAAGTTTTGCAAGTGGGGAGAAAAGGAAAAAGAGCCGATGGTTGTGAAGTGCAAGCAACGTGATGACATGACCTTAATAAATGCATTATGTCACTAATTGGAGCAACTTGCCAAATTCCAACCGCAAGTCAATTGCATTTAGTGAAAGTTCAGTGTGATAACAGTTCCATTTTCACAATTTGTTTCTCGCATGTTAAGTAGCCAAGACAGGGTGGCCGAGTGGTTAAGGCGTTGGACTGCTAATCCAATACGGTCTCCGTGCGTGGGTTCGAATCCCATCTCTGTCGTAAACAGTTTTTAACGAACAACGAAATACAATTTTTGGAGACCTTTTTCTGTCGGATTCAATGAAATTTTGTAATTACTACGTCTGAGTTTGGTTTCGTTTTAAACACAGTATTATTTTCACACTGCAAAATCATTGGTAATGGTGAAGAGAAAAGGATGTTCATTCTTTACACCGTAATTTGTTGCATTGTGTGAAATAACCGCTGAAAATGGCTAAATATGCAGCGCAGCGACATGTGTAACTCTAAGCTGCTTATTTCTCTAAGCTGCTTATTTAGCCACTTTCATTTCTTAAAGATTGATATTAATACAAAATGTTATCTTAGGTGGGTAGTTCTTTGAGTCTGAAGTTCCACGAGGTGGCGACATCCATGAAGAAATCGAAAAAATCCTGCTTTCTTAAAGTTACGGAAGTGTGCTTGGGAATCGAAGAAATGATGGGATCCATTCTTGACTCAGATTACTCCGAGGCCCTACAGAAACTGAACTTGGATCTAATTTTGACAGATTACACTACAATTGTGTTGTCAGTTTGCCCATTGCTGTACAATGTGCTGTTTAAAATCCCAGCTGTGTTCGTGGACAGATTATCGGGATTTTTCTTCAAGTCGTCCTTTCTGATTAGATGGAATATTACGAGTGGAGTGTTTGAAGTGATTAAGAGAGAAGAGATTAAGAAGACGAGTGAAAGGCAGTTGAATGTGAATGCTGAAGTGAAGCCGCTCTTTCAAACAAACTGGAGAGGTGAGAGCTTGTTCAGCGGTCGAATTAATCTAAACAAAGAACCTAGTGGGCGATTATGTCCGTCAAATAAAAAATTGTCAACTTATTGGTTATTGTTGGTAATTTCAAATGGTTTCAATTTGAAAAAATTGTCAACATTTTTTTAGATCGGTAAATTTTTGGAGGAAAGGCCGTTTTGCGAAACTTTTTGGAAGGTTTTGACCAAAAGTTAGCGTTTTTCGACGAGTTTTTTTTATATCTCAAAATTAGTTTATATTGCCTGAAAGTATAGACATTTGAACTCTAAATTTAGGTAATATAGATAGATGTTTGAATTTTGCGACTTCACTAAAAGACATTTGAGATTTTTTAGTGGGCAACGTGGTAGTTTGTCTCGCAGATGGTTTGCTTCATGCTTTAAAATATGTTTCCACTGTTCTTTCATTGTTTCCTGTTATGTTTAGAACATCTCAAAACTTCGCAGTTTCCTCTGGAGTCAAGTCTGGACGCTGGGAACAATGTTCCTTTTCTAGTCGGGAAGTCCAAGAGTTCCATGTTCAACAGACAACAGCATCTTCTGCTCAAGCTATGAGTTGCTCTCTTCTGCTTTATATTTCTGCTTCGTTTCTGTTTATTTTGCTCGGGTCAATAAATGACCAGGATATTTTATCTTCAAGTATTTTTAATTTTATTGAAATATTGCTTGGGGCAATTTTGAGTTAAATTTGTTTCCATCAAAGCATGGATCTTACCTACGTCGTTTTTTGATTGCAAGCATGGATCTTACCTACGTCGTTTTTTGATTGCACTAGAAAGCTGAAGAAAAAATTGACAAAAGTTTCGGAAAGTTTTTTGTTTCTGTAAAAAAATTAACCAAAAATACACGAAAACTGCTTAATACAAACCCACATTAGATGTAAAGTAGGCTCTAAACATTCTCAGTGTCATAACTAAACAGTGTCATTTATCCAAACTTGATAAAAGTTGGCGTTTTTATTGAAGAGTTAAAAAAAGGTACAAACTCAATTTAGGAACATAAAAGTGAGGAATATGGCAATGGTGAAAATCGATTGTGAAGTATTTTTGTTGACCAAATTGTTGTCTAGATAAGTCATAATCGTGGAAATTTTAGACCACGTAATGGATTTTAAAGCAATTATAATAGAATATTTTTGAACTATAAAAATCCCTTATAATCGATTATAATCCATTTTTTTCTCCATGACTGATTCTTTGTTTAACCTAAAATCCATTCTAGTCCAGTTTTTCAAGTCAAGATCCTTGAGAAGACAATTTTTTGCTGATTATTTGCAATAACATATTTCGCAACTCAATTTTTGATTCATGAATAAGCTGTAAAGTTACAAAATTATAAATGAATACTACATAAAAAACCTTTTTAGATGATTCATTTGCCGGGACTCGACTCCGTCACCACCCAAAGGGTCTCCCCTTCAGTACTATTTTACGACATCCAGTCTCGGTCGACTGACCCTAACAATTTTCTAAGGGGTTTTTGACTATAATTAATAAGTCAAGACTATATTTAACTTTTAAAAGGGAGTGCGCGATTTTTCGATCGAAGTCTTCCTAAAGTCTCCAAAATGGCCTTTTGACCTGTTTTTTTTGTAAATGCTGCCTGCGGCGCAGAAATTTGTCAGAATAGTCCTTAATGGTTTCTGGGAAGGTCGTAAAATCAATTTGGTCGACCTGAAAAAAAGGCGATCAAAATTTGTAAAATATTTTTTCAACAGTGTCCCCCTCGAGAAAATCCTAGATCCCCCCCATTTCTTTTATCAATTTCTTCCCATCCTTTTCATCTTTCGATCATTTTCTTCATTATGCAGATGGGTACGACGACTAGTCCATTTTAGGTGGTTGGTAAGATGATCAGTTCATTTCAGGTGGTCGGTTAGACAGCTTGTCAATTTAACGTGGAGATCCCGGCAGTGAAACAAAATTGAGCAATTGATTTTAAGAGATGGAACAGTTAAATTAAGATAATTTATTAAAATTAATTTTGAGAAAAGATTATTCTAAATTATTCCTCAAAATTGAGAAAACTGATTTTTAGTTTATATAATTGGGCGGGTGCTATATTGTAAAACATCCTGAAGTAGACATCAAAAAAGTTTTTTTTTCTTCCCGTATCTTGCAAAATTATAGCCCATACTGTCTTTTTTGCAGTTGCCATCTCCCTTGGAAGTTCTCGAACCAAAAGTAGCTTTCTTGGGGCAAACATCCGACAATTTTATCTGTTTTCTACCGTACGCTTGAGTACAATATTGGGCTTAAAAACAGTGACGTTAGGAGTCGCGCCAATGTATTGCGAGTTTTACTACATTGGGTAGGTCTCTAAATGAAAAAAGACATACAATGAAGCGAGTCGGGTAAATTGTTATCGGCTAATTGAATTAGGGCGTTGTGGCGCATCGGTAGTGATTGTGCCCAGAAATCATATGATTGCGGGTTCAAATTGCACATGCGCTGCAATTCGCAGTGTGAGCTTTTGTAAGATAGCCATAGCTTAGTTAAACTTAAATAATTGCCCTTCGGGCTAGGCCTCTGGTTGGTTAAATTTAAAAAGAAAATGTTAACATAACTGTTATTCTGCTCAATTTTTAAAGTAAAAACAAAAGAGAATCGGTTTTAAAATCACGAATTATGATCGTAATTTTGTGACTACCTTAAATATATCAAGCCAAAAAGTGGGGATGATCATGCGCTGATATAGTGATATGTGATTTTTACAAGGAAATCATATTCAGTTCACGCAGATGAATTAACAGAAACTCAATCGCAAACCAATTTTGAACCGATTAAAATATTAGCATTTTATGTTCTATCAGGTTCGGCTCAAATAGGATTCTCAAATGAAACCACTTAGGTGAGAATTGAACTCACGCCGAACTTGAACCCGTAACGCACTATGTATGCGCTAGGCTATATAGCTGGTTTTGACGAAGAGACGAAGGAGCGACAACTGGAACGAGCTTACTGAGCGGCCGAGTGTAGTTTCAGGAGACGGTCCTAAGGTTTGCGGAACGGGCGGTGTTGTCTTTCCCGTAGTTTAGCGACATTATGCGTGCTAGTAGGTAGTGGCCCCTAGGGCTAGTCGATTCAACTAACCACACAAAATCTCCCGTTTTCAAAGAAACTTCGGCAGGAGCATGCCACTTAATTCTCTTATTGAGTGTGGGGACGTACCCACTTAACCATCGCTGTCAAATTGCGTTTGCGTACGACTGCGCACGGGCATAGCGTTTAGAGTGAGAATAGTTTTCACCCGACCTTAAAGACGGAAACGTTAGACTGTGCTGACCTAAAAGGAAATGATTCGGCGTCAAAGCCTCCAGACTATCTGGGTCGTCAGAAACAGGAGTGAGCGGACGGGCGTTAAGTGAACGTTCAACTAGGCGCATGATTGTGTTCAAATTCTCGTCAGTCAATTTTCTTGACCCTAAGATTGCATAAAACACGCGCTTACAACTGCGCACCATTCGCTCCCATGCTCCACCTTGATGTGGTGTAGTAAGTGGATTATACTTCTACTTAATGCCTTTGTGTACGAGCGATAGTGGAGCTTCTGCGTTCCACTTTTTGATGCACACAAGATGCTCTTTTTCGGCTCCTACAAAGTTCATTCCATTGTCCGATCAAATTATCGAGGGTGTTCCTCGCCTAGAAATAAAGCGCTCGATAGCCATCACACTTGAACTTGTGTCCATAGATGAAACCAACTCTATGTGAATTCCGCGTGCCGTTAAGCAAGTGAATAGAAAACCCCAGCATTTCTCGGAAGATGATGAATGGTTACATGAAATGGTCCAAAAACGTCGACGCCGCAGTTCGAGAATGGTGGCTGGCTGTAACCTAGACACTCCACAAGAAGGTCAGATATCATTGGAGTAACGCTTTTCGCTTTCTGCAACATACGCAATGTGGTTCAATAGCTCTTAGTGCAGATCTCAAGCGTAATACTACAAATTGCTGATGAATGACGGAACGGAGGTAGTCGACGTACTGATGTTCGTGCTCAATGTGATAAAACCTGAGAAACAATCGGAGTAAGTGATGGCGGCTATCCAAAATAATTGGATGGCGAGTTCCGAACGCGGTTGCGGAGAGACGTTGGATACGGCCGTTAGATCTAACCAAACCGTTCGATCCGAGAAAAGGCGAATACGATGATACACGGCTAGATGTTTTCACATGTTTGTCCAGCTGATAATTGCTTACATTCAGCTGGGATTGACTTTAACTGCGAAAGTTGCAAAAGTTTTTCCTGTGCAATGACAAGTTCTGCTGGATCAATTATGGCCTTATCTGGCGATCTGAAATGTCTATGCTAAGGTGAGAGTCTCAACATATATGCCACTACTCTTTTTTTTGGAGAACGAGCTATACTCTTCCCAAGGGGTGGCAAAGTCAGTCGAAACTGCAGTGAACGGAAAATTTGAAGAGACCTCTAAACCCTCATTCAGGTCGTAGACCGGACCATCCAGGCGAACTCTCTTAGTAAGTTCCCTATTTGGATTGAAAAGCCAATCAGAAGTTTTCAAAAAGGAAGGGCCGTTGACCCAACTGCTTCGCTTGAGGAATTCAGCAGTAATACCACTAGTTTCAGTGTCAGCGGGGTTGTCTCAACTCAAAACGTGGAACCATTGGTCAATTGATGATGACTCCAGAATCTCGGCTACTCGATTGGCTACAGACACGGGCTGTTTGGTTGTCGAGTTCAACCACTGAAGTACTGATAGTGCTGTCTGTCCACATGAACACTTTGTAAATACTCAGCGTCAGAGCTTTCTCAATAGTCTTCAGAAAAGTAGCTAGTGGGCAATTGGATAAGGCGTTTTTCTGAGCGCGAAGGAATGATACAGAACAGAAAACGTCCAATGAGCTTATCACCGAACATATGCAGTTCAACTTTATCTACTGGAAAGTCAAAATAGCAACGAGGTATTGTGAGCTGCTCCGAAATTGGCTAGCCGGAGTGCCATTCAGTGAATCTGCGTCACAACTCATTTGGCAGTGAGCCGTCCCACTGTTGACCACTCAATGGCCAGATATCTTTCAGTAGCAATTGTGCGCGTACGGTATAGGAGACCTATGGGATCGAACACGGAGGGCACAAAACTAAGAACCGATCGCTGTGAGTCTTTGAGTTTGCGGTTTACGCCTCTGCTCACAACCAACGTATCGGTGACGTGGTCCCCATTTGAGACCGAAAACATGCGATGCGTTTTGCGGATTAATCACAGCGGTAAGAATTTCCTTACTGTTGTTAGCGCTGGTTTTAGGGGATGTAGGTTCAAGGACAAATTGGTAACGTTGCTAATACATTTTGTAAGATTAAAACCACCCAACTTAAACAGTTCAACTAAACTGCGATTTAACGTTAAAGCAGTTTCCGGATTTTTCACAGACCCAAGGTAGTCATTCATGTAAAAATTGTTAGCACGATGTAAGCGTCATCGGGATAACGATCTTGGTTGTCGACGGCTGTTCGTCGAAGAGCATAGATAACACATGTCGGAGAATCTTTCGCTCCAAATATATGCCTTGTATATTGAAATATACTCACGTCTGATGGGGGATCCTCCCGCTACAAAAAACGCAAGGAACGTTGATCTCTTTCTTG